AAATTAACTGATCGAATTTAACAAAGTAAATTCCTTCATATTATTCCGTTTATTTTAATATTTGCTCTTATTTTTGAAATTCTACAAATTTGGTTTTAGGTGTGACTGATGCCAAATAAATTTTCTCGATTTTCATTTCAATTTTTTCTGCAAGATAATTTTGTCTTCGTTATGGATATTTTGTGGCATTTTGTGCTGTCGGTAGAGTTAACCATTCGTTTGAAGGGAATAGAGAATCGCTGTGTGTTCGTTTTTATAATACTAACAAATCTATATATATATATATATATATATATCAACTTGCATAAAAGCATTACTGACAGCGAATAAAAAATTCATTTCTTACTCTCTGTGGATTAGATCATCCTCAATCTCTATTCATCTGTTGGAACCACTTTTCTATTCCTCTAGTGCTGCTGTTATCACAAGGATTACTTTGGCCTTCACTTCCCACATCTTTAGTTTCTTTTTTAGCCCCTGCTATTTCTCTAGTTTTTCATATTTAAGATTCCTATCACTTGATCATCAATGTTGATTTCTGATTCTTTTCTGATACTACGATGTCCAGTTGATTGGTCAGTATTTTTTATCTAGCTAGATGGAAGAGTTCCACAGGATCTTGGCTTTATTATTCTCTGTGAATTTTCTATGGAATTTCCATTTGGTCTTGGAACGGTTTAAGCCATATTCCTGTAGACAATGCCAGCTATTTAGTTATGTATGATAAGTGTATATCATATTTCCATCTTACATTATTAGATAGTTTCTGAGACTCTAAGGAGACTTTGCACTGAGGCAATGCGCATCTTAAATTCTATCTGATATGGTTTATTCTTGTTTTGATCTGGTGTATTTGTTTTTTTGCTACTATATGCCTCAGTGTTGTCTTTTAATCCAGCTTTTTCTAACCATTGGTAAGATTTCTCATTATCAGCCATCTCAGGCACAATCGATGGTTTATCCCATGGAATCTTACTTTGCTTTGGCTTCCTTCCTCTGTTCAACTTTTTTTCAAAGTATGTTGATGCTCCAGGCATTCTTTCAGAAGTCCCATTCTTTAGTGCCATCTTGATTTTCTGAATGCTGAGGCTGAAGGCAGTAGCTTTTACCAAACCCCATCCGTCTTTTTTCTGGCTGAGTGTTGGGGAGTGGAAATTTTTGTGCATTGGAGTGAGGAGTTTCCGGATTTTCAACAATCTCTTCCTCCACCTATTTGGTTTCGCCAGCTCCTGCATAACTGGCAAAGCGCCACGTTTATGGCATGAATTTTGTTCTTTCATTGAACTTCAAGATTTCTCTTGTCCTTTGGTGATACTTAGATATCTCATCGTAGTTACCATGTGAGACACCAAGTAACTTTTATATCTGTACGTTTGCTATATCTCCTGATGGTAGATGCAGTCCAGCAGTCATTACTACTTTCCCTCTCTTCACTGCCACATTTTTATCCCAATATCCTCACCATAGATTCGTGGTAATGAGCGAGTCAGTGCCTCGTTCATTTTTAGCATATAACTTGATGCACTTCATTCATGATCAGTGCTCTCCTTCCTTATATTAATCAGCCTGGGTGAGAGGTTGATAGTAGTTTCGCTCTTATAGCCGTATCTATGTTTTACGATTATCTGGCTGAGATATAGACTTATGTAGAAAAGTAGCGGAGTAGCTTTGATAACCACTTATGCAAACTCTTTTGTATTGAGTTCTTGATAAAAGTCTTTATGATCCTTTTGAATTTGTATAAAGCGAGACACATATACACATGTGGAGCGTTAAGTTATAGGTTTTTCTATAGTAAATCCAGGATATGTATATTGGTGTGGAGTGCTGAATTTTGAATGACTGCTTTATCTATGAACAGCTGGTATTTTAAGCATTTGGTGATATTCTTGATGCCTTTTTGAATTATGATCATGTACTGACTGGCTCATATGGTTTTTCAGCTTGATTGCTGTGCCTGATTGCACTTTCTACTATGTGGTTGTGGAGAGGCAGTTTATTAATTACATGATGTTCCTTACTTACTCTTTCATGATCAGTGCTCCTTCCCTGTGTTAATCAATCTGGATGAGAGTCTGTCGCAACCACCTGGTTTATCTATGTTGTTTTTTCATGAAGCGTTGTTAAATTTAGCCAGTAAGTGTGGGTCATATCTAGATCAAGTATAACTGCGACTATGAAGGTAACTGGTTCTTGGGAGATTGCTTTGGCTTATTCTCAAATCCTGCAAACACTTTGCATTATGAACTTTTTTTTTCATAAATAATTTTCCAGTATTCAGCTTCTGTTTAGTGTATAATAGCATTTTTAGTGTGTAAATTTGCTATTACCATTTTGTTGCAGTTAAGAATCTATCTTCGATAATTCTCAGAAGAACATGGCTTTTTAGCATCTGCCTCTTTACTATATCCCTTAGTAGCCAGTGTTATGAGCCTTTGTTTAACTCGAGGGTTTCTGATAGGGTGTAGCCCTTGTATTTTTTCAGTATCCAGATATCCAGATATTTCTTAATCTTCACTCTTTTCTATTGTCCTAAAATTCTTTCAGCTGGCCAACTCATATGCCCTTATTTTATTCTCCAGCCTCATTTTCTAGAAGCGACATGCATTGCCATTCTTTTTGATTCTATACCCAAGCATTTCCAGAATTATAGCGACTGTAGCGTGCATCAATTCATTCATTGGCTTTTGTTATAGCAAGAATTGTAGTGAGGATTGGTGATACTTCAGTGAGTCTCCGCATTCGATGATTAATTAAAACCAGTTTATTCATGATTTTTTGTCTTATGTTAATTGTTATGGCTTGCAACATGGATGTTGGATTTTCCAAATTCTCAGTTTTTGGATGCATTCCATTCTTCTTTGCTCTTATCTTGGCTCTGGGATAATAATGGAGGGATGATCTATCACCGGTAAAGAAAGCAGCTTCCTTTTTTCTATGCTGAAGCATTGTGCGACTAGATGTTTTAATATAGGTCTTTTTTCCACCCACAGTCCCTTCATATTTCGTATAAAACCTTTCATTAAGACTACTGCTATAGTAACATTCCGTCAATTCCAAATTATCGCGTCTTATTCACCCTATGTTCCAGTGGTCCTTTTAACCCGGTATCCCGGTCTATCCCGGTTCCTCAATATCTTGCGCGAACCTCGTTAATCCGAGCGACATCCAATCTTGTCTTAAACAGCGTTAATATAAAATTTATAAATGAATTGCTTTGCTTTGTTTACGAAAATACAAATTTAAAAGGTTTTTTTATTTCATTTAGCGATGAAGTTATTTTTTTCTTCGCTTCTTCCATAATTCAATTATTTAATCTGCAACTTTATAAAACCTATATATCAGTTATTTATTTATTGAAAACCAACCAAACAACAAACAGGGCAACAAACGCCATGTATTAATAACAATAGTTAAAATAACAAATAATAAAAATTAATAACAAGAAAAAAAGAAAATACAAAAAAAATTTAAAGAGGAAATTACAGAATAATATAATAGTACAATTCGAAATAACTATAATCGAATGGTAAAAATCGAGATTTCACACTTCCTGCATGATGTGAACGTTTTAAATAATATCATAAATTATATAATCTTTTTTTAAAGATAGCTAGGGATGGCGCAAAAGCTATATCATTCGGTAATTTATTCCAGTAATTAATAGAATAAAGAAGTCATGGGTCCTTAGTTTAGTTTTACATGTAATATATTTATAGTATCTTCCCAATTGGCAAAAAATCTTCGAGACGTTTATCATTATAATTTTTTCTTCATATGGCTTGATAATCTCTGCTGGAAATTTAAAAATGGAAATAATGCTATCAGATTCTCATATGATAAATAATTTCGCCGATTTATCCGAAATGTACAGCAGTTTTAACGAGGTCGGCGAAAATTTGCAAGCAATTTCAGTTCACATAGGTCCAGAAAATGATAGAAATGGGATAAAATAATGGGACTATGATAGGTCTATAAAAATCTAAATGATGTTAATTATGATAAAGAGACAAAATGCGGTCGTTTTTTATAAAAATATCTTTAGGAACTTGCGAAAATAACTTATTACTTATTAAAATTACTTATTCCAGTTGGTGCTTTCTTTTTTTTAAATTTTAAAATGAAAATTAATGCCGCAAATATTTCTTTCTTTGTAATGTATTCCTCGAATAATTTTAATTTTTAATTATATTTTTTTGGCTCCTTTTAAAGGAATAGTAAATTAATTGATTATTGTAACAAAAATACCCATTCTATTGGCAATCAGAACCGTCTTCAAACTTATTTTGGTTTGTTCACTACCTTGCCTCGCCATTTTGTTGAAGTACGAATAATAACGAATACTCAGGAATAGAAATTATTATTTAAAATTTACAAATGTGATATGGTTGGTGGTGAAAATTCGTTGGATTCCATAATGCCTCTTTTGCAGACTTTTGTTGAATTGTTGTTTTCCAACTCACCAAATCCACATTATTTTCACTTAAGTCCCAACTCTTCCCTACTTCCTCTTCTCTTTCATTTTCATAATACAATGCCTTATTTTAGCACGTGGCCAAATGCAAAAATTATTTTTGAAGTATTTATCCATTCCTCGAATTCTTATTTGGGCCATCTGCAATCTTTGGCTAATTACGAAAATCCTTATGAATCTGTCAATTTCTTTTCCATTAAGCCATCGATGCATTTTACTGAAGTCGTAATTAATGTCTTATTGATTCTTCATGAAATGAGTTGAACTTGTTGACAGATTTATTGTTGATTTAATTCATTGGGCTTTTGATCTTTCGATCTTTTCGATCATTCGAATCCATTTTTGATTTGTTTTTTGATTTGTGACCACAGTAACTTTCACTTTCCAAGAAAAAGTTCACTGCAAGAATTGAAGGAAAGTTTAGGGAATATTTGGTGTTAAGGAATTATATAACTGTCTGTAAGGATATAAGGTGATAAGTGTGTTATATAAAAGACCAAAAGTTATGAATTTTTATGAATGAAAAATGATTTTTATTACCTTCACTAAATCGTCATCATTAAACAAGTTAAGCAGCGAAAAACTCACTTTTATCAATTTATCAATTCAGAACGTCAATTTTTTACTTAATCCTTGCCATTTGACAACGATTTTACAACGAATTAATTTTATTAACAATGCGGTTTAACAGCTCGAATGCCTGTGTTATATTTCGATTCCATTTCTACGCACTGCCTGGCACCATGTTAGCTATTTTATTTCCAATCTTAAATACTCGACTAATAAGTTTAATTTAATTTTTTCTTCTGGAATTGGTGACAAAAAATACTGAAAAATACTGAAAAAATGCTCTCGATTTGAAATCTTTAAGTCATCGTTCCTTATCCGAAATCTCTTCACTACTATAAAGAAAAGATTCTTGCAGAAGTGTTACTTTCAGCTGCCTGGCGAAGTTTCAATCTATTGCACTCAACATGTTTTAATCCTTCTTATACCCATTTATATGATATATACTGAAGGTTATTAATGATCTTTTTTGTTTGTTTTTTGATAAATTTTGAATTTCAGCGAATTTCTCAATTTAATTAAAATCCTGAAATTTTCTTTCCATTTTTCTCCCTGTACATTTGGCGTTTATCCAGTGGCCAATATTTAGGTTCTCAATTTTATTTCTTTATCATTTTATTATTTTACAGTTAATCAGTTTGGTATGAATGATATTTTTCAAATAGTTTTATTATTCCGGCTAAGATTGAGTTTTATGTTTTATGTTTAATTGTGATGTTTAAAAAGAAGTTTAACTCATATCTGTTTCGTTCTGAACCTTTAAAAACTGGTTGCTTCTGGCTTCGCTGGCGACACTGACTATTAGAACGAGAATTCTCTTTCACTAGAGAATCATAAAACAAAAGTATAGATTAGATAAAATGCTAGTCTGTCAATCGGTCGACCGTTTCCTTGAACTCAGCAAAATACAGTTTCTTGTCGACTCCTAGTAAGAATAGAATCTATCTTCTAAAAATCCACGCTTCTAACGTAAATTCCCCATCCTATTGAACGAAAAAGCAGTAAAAATATGATTTCCAAATAATGAGCAGTTTGTGTATAGCACTTTTTTTCCAAACAACGCGATTAGGTTTAGCAGGAATAAACTTGTTATTAAAAAATCAGAGCGATACTGGGATCCCTCCCATTTTTTCGTCCAAGTGATCCTGTCCCGTCGAAATTATTTCATTCTAGTAACCAGTAGGGCAAGCCTAACCAGAAATGAGCTCTCACCACCTGATTTTTATTCGAAATATGTAATCTGTTTACCAAAGCTTACAATGAAGAGAAGAGCTTTAAACTGCTAAACAACAAAAAATCAAGATTCTTTTTTAAAATTCTTAAAATTTTAGATGCTGTTAGTCTTTTATTGTTTTTATTACCTGCTTTAACTGAACTATACTGTATAATCTCCATCATAATAATGAAAGCAGTTCGAATGTTTATGGTACCTCGAAAGTGCAAAGAATCGGATTGAAAAAGTGCGATTAATGCTCAAGAAATCTGGTTCGACATTAACGAATTAAAATATGGTTACGTTAAATTAAAATATATTAAATATGTTCCAAATATTATATTATAATTTTAGCTTAAATTTGAATTCAACAAGATGTAATGGGCTAAAATTGAACCTGTTGAAAATTAATCCTAGAACTCATGATTTTTGCATCCGCACCATCAATTACTGAAAGAATTTGCCGAACGACTTAGAGTGTCCATTATCCTATTTTCAAAAAAAAGGTTAAATAATATATATCAATGATATTATAAATTTTTATTATATTGTTTATAAATTTTGTGCTAAGCAAGTAGTCTGAGATTTTTTTCAGCATGCAGTTATTAGCCAGTTTGATCTATGTTATTCTCTTATCCTCCTTTATTTGTATTGTTTCGTTTTACATTAAGTTTTGGTTGTTCCTTTTTTTTGTTTTTCATGTCGATTTCATGTTTTCATTACTAATTTCGCATCTCATTTGTTGTTGATGTAAACAAAGAGCCAATCCAAGTTGTGCACATATCTGTCAGGATTTTGGGTCTTGAGCGGCAACCTTATCCATGAGCATATGGTGTTTCCCAATGACTTTTTGAACTATACTTTTGTACTAGCTCATATGGTCATAAGCTTGATGACTATGATGTCTGACAGGGCTTTCCACATTGTGAAGAGGCAGTTCGTTTGGGCAGTTTTCTTTTATGAAGCTTTTTCATGATCATTATCATCCTTCCGTATCCTAACCAGTCTGAGTGAGAGCCTGATATAAGCAGATGGTTCATATGTATTCCTAGGCGTTGTTTCTTCAGCTATTTGGTGTGGATCATGTCCGGTCTGTCCAACTTTCCATGTTGGCTGTCAACACCTATGATGATAACTGGTTTCTGCTCTTGGAAAATTGCTGTTCTCAGGTCTTTACATCGGTGTTTTTCTTTTTTTTTTTAAGAGTCCTCACCATTACTGGTTAAGCTTACTCCATTGGCTTGTTATATTGAGCAATATGCCAGGGAGTCTCTTGGCGATAGAGGTGAGTCACCAGCATCACCCGGATTTCTGAGCAGGCTTACTCCTGTGGGGAATTAAACTTCGCATCAGCGCTCCCAATCGAGTAACATCCGATTGAGGCATTCTATCCCTTATCCATTGGAACCTTTGCATTGGTGTTAAGAATTTTCTTTTTCTTCTATATATTCTTCCAATATTGTATAGTTTCTGTTGTTTGTGGCTCTATTGTTACCATATTATTGCACTGAAATTGAGGGTGTACCCTTGGTTGGTTCCTTGAAGAAAAGGGAATTTTTCTTTTTAGCTTTTTTTCCTCTAATATATCTCCTTAGCCTAGTGGCCAGTGCTGTGAGCCTTTGTTTGGCAGTCAAGAGGTTTCTGATGGAGTGTAGCTTTTCTTCTTCCTTGTTTTTCCAACGTCAGCATTTGGACAGTATTATTAATCTTCTCCCTTCTGTAATTCTATTATTTGGCTAACTTTTCTGCATGCCCTTCTCTTGTTCTCCAGCCTTTTCCAGGAGCGATATCATTATTTTTTTTGATTTTTTGTCTCAGCATTTCCAGAATTACAGTGGCTGTGGCTTACACCAATTCATTAGTTTCTGTTATAGTGGCAGTAGGAATATTGTTGCCAGGACTTTGCATCTGTGCTTTATTGAACCTCGATAGTCGGTCTCGACAGTTAATTTTAGTCAGTTTGCATATATATATATATATTCAGTTCCATTCGTGTTATTCTTTTTTATTTGTGTTTTTTCCCTTTGCATTGTTAGTTTTTGATCACATTTCTTTTTTTGTATTTTATATCTAATTTTCACTAATTTTCTTTTCATTTGGCATCATTCATAAATGCGAACAAATGTTTTTGTCGTTTCTCGGCCATTTTCAAAGAAATGGTTTTGCCGAATGGTTCAGAAAAATTAGAAAAACGGTACACTTCATACATGATGAACGCTTGAGGGTATCATTGGTACCTGGTGAGCCATATATGAAGTGTTGGAAGGAGATCCTCGTAACAACTATACTTACTGAGAAATGATTGATTATTTATAAACCATGCAAAATGTATTTATTCGATATATTGTTTATAATTAGTTCCACAAAAAAAATCAATTAGTTGTTAAATTAGTTGTTTTTGTTAATCAATTAGGAGCAAATTAGTTGTTGCAAACATTGGTTCCTTGAAGGGAATTTGCATCCTATAAATAATTAGATAGTTAATGCTCACTAAGGAATTTTTGATTAGGCTAGTTCCACTGGATATTATTGTGGTTAGGAATTTTTAAAGGGAGTTAGTTGGTGACAGCAATTTAAGATGGAACATTAAAATGCAAAATATATTTTTACATATATTAGGTCTGCTTGTTTTATATATTTAGCTATTTTGTTTATATGTTTATCTACTTATATATTTTTATCTGAAAGATAGTTCTGTTCTATACAATTTTCGCTATTTCTCGTTTTTACTTCATTAAAAATACATTCTTTTCCATCATCCATGATTAGATGATAACTGTTGGCAATGTTCATAGATGGTAAAAAAATATTTTAATTATTATCATTTGAAATTATGAAATGATTTTTTCCTACTTCTTTCTTTTTCTAAAGTTACATTCTAATTTGTCATGCAAGAATGGCAGTGTTTTATTTAGACTGTGAACTGAAGCACCATGGTTCAGCTCTTTATGGGGGTTTTTGCAAGTCAAATTCGGGCTTAGACCCACCTGAACTTTTATTCCCAAGTAATTCGCGAGAGGATTTCATCCTAATAGCCAGTGGAGTGAAATTAATCAGAAAATATGTTTTTATCGAGACTTTTTTCTATTATCGAAAAAATATTAAAGCCATAAATCAATCTAATTTAATATTTTTCAATTTTAATATTTCAATTCAAATCAGTTTAATTCATATTTTTATATATATGATAAGTTAAGACAAAATAAATTAAATATCTTCATAATATGGAAGAGGAGGAAGTCCATTTCCCCTAACTTTACAAACCGTAAAACCAAGGGCAGTGATACAAACGTGTTCATGGGGAGCGCCTAGCGCACATCCCACCGCACAAGTACAAAAAATCGTATATAAATCTAGCATCGATGAATTTTTTTGTAAGACGGTTGCTTCATTACAACACGCTTCTGTGATACATTCTGAAAAATATGCAAAAAATAACTCATAAACTTTATAAAACAAATTTTGAACTAATTACTGACTTGATCCTCAAGGTTAACTAGAATATGTGGTTTTTTTTCTTTTTGAGCGGATCCGTAAAGTTTTACATGATCCTCTCACTTAACGGTGCCTTATATAACTGAGATGAATAAAATGAAGATTGCTCTAGAAAGAATTAAATAAATAGCCAAAATGCTCCATTGGCAATTTTTATGGAAAGGATAGGAAATTTTCTCTTTGTGAATTGAAGAGCCTCATGCATTCCATTTTGCTTCCATAAATAAAACAAAAAATAGCAAAAAAACTTACTATTTACTCTTTCAAGACAAAATGGTAAAAATTGCGATACTTTTTCCTGCGACCAAAAACAATGAATATAGGGTGAATCTCCTACTCTCCTGCGACGTTTTTCCAGCATTTTTGCATTTTGCGTGGCTTTATATTCAGGAATAGGTTGAGCAATGCTTGCTTGAGCAGTTTGAGAGTATAAAAGCAAATTTGGATGTAAAATTTTTGTTTGAACACTGTCGGAATAAAAAAGAGGATTTCCTAATGTATGCAGGATAACTTCGAAAATCAGACTTATTATTGACAGCATCTGTATTAAACAATCCAGGAAAGGAGTGCTTCTTTCTTTGGTAAGCTTTAATGAAAACCAGCAATCTATAATTCCTTATAAAATGATTAAAATTAAATAAAATAAAATGAATGATTTAGCTGAAGAATTGGGTAAGATTTACACAAATTTAAAAATAGCATCACCTATTTCTTAAGGGATAGTCTGGTAAAAGATTCAATCTCGAAAATATAATTCCTGAAATTTAAGTATTTCGCAAAAAAATTCGCGTTGAAACTGAAAAACCTGTCAAAAGCTTTGGTTTTCATCGAAATTTTTTTTTGATTTTAATTTTGAGGCCAATAACATTTAATCGAAAAAATATTATGCTTTACCATTGTACTAATGCTAAAACCATAGAATATTTAAAACTTGTAAACAAAAACTATTTGCATGGGCGAAGAACCAGTGTGTGATTTAAGAAGCCAATTCCATGATCATTAGATTTGATAGTTAAAAGGAAAAGGAGAAAAGGAGAGATAAATCGCAATCACCTCAATTCCAACTTTACCCTCCGATTTATCCGTGATTATTTTGAAATTTATATTTCCTATTAATTCTAAACTGAAACAACTTGATTTTTCTAAATCATTATAAATCATTATTGTAAAATGAATATTATTTTAAAAATATAATTTGAAAAATTATTAAAAATTTTACTCTTAAAATCTCCGAAAGAAGAAAATATAAGGACAAACAAAAAATATTTTAAATGAAAAATGAATGCTTAATGAATTATTGGTAATATTTTTACATACCAAAAATTCTTCGACACAAATTTTATTTTTTTTCTTGGAAATTCTAAGAAATTCGTTGAATAATGTGGAAAAAAATCTAAATAGCCGAGGTTACTAAAATTCTGACTAATTTTTTTTGTTTCAATTAGAAAAAGTGAGAACATGTTAACTGATCGTCAGACTTGATTCAAATTGGGCATCAAATTTTAATTTATTATATAATGCCTAAAGCTAGTCCTTACGTCGATTAAACGAGCGAAGCATTCGATAAAAGCGTTCACTTGAAATTTCCTTAGAGAAGCCTCGTGCTTTTGATAAAATTTCTTGCTATCTCTTCTTTTTCATATCATTCATCTATCCTGTAATATCAACAAAAAAAACAAAAAAATTTCCATCAAATGCAAAAAATTTTTCAAAGGCAAATTCCTGGAGACATTGATTCGCATATGATAGTGATTGTTTTTTATTTCCGTTCATATCAATGCGAAATCGGAATTTTTTTTGGAGTTGAGTCACATTTTTAATCAAGAAAAATCTAAAAATTTCTCAACCAAAATTTTTATATGCAATTTTGCAATGAATGTCAAAGTTAGAAATCGAAAAATCTCAATCTCTTATCACCGTTGTCAAGTAAAATAATTGCGGATCAGCGGCTGACATCACTGATGAAGTTATTGTATATCTGAAACGAATCACATAAGACTATAAATATTTTAAATGTAAATAATTACGGGAAACCGCCAATTATTACCAAATATAAAATAAAAAATTAAAAAACCGATGAATTGAAATTGGAAAGAAATATGGAAAAAGTCAAAATTCTGCTCAATAAATGAGAAAGCAAAAATTTTAAAAAAGATGGAGACGAAATGCGAAAAAAAATGACTCACGAGTTTTTTACAGGCTCAATTGATAAAAGTTCCATCATACTGCCTATAGAAATTTTATTTTGGCCCGTTTCCCTCAAAAAATTTGATCCTGACGTTCTGTAATTTCTTGTTCTATATTATTTACATTATTTTTTCATATGTATAACGTATTTAAGAGGAACGGGCTTAATCAAAAATGGTACTCTTAGAAAAAATTAGCATAATGATAGCATTTAGCAGAGAATAGGTAGATTATTAAAATACTGTTTCTAGTTACAATGGTTTGCACTCTACTACTAGGAGAATAAATTTTTAAACCTGCTTTTAAAAAAATCTCATGGATACCCACCTGTATTTTTCTATCCCGACTACCTGGCAAATAACCAGAAATGGTGAGTGCTAACCATTTTCAACACAAAAAATTTTTCATGCACCTAATATGAATATACTATGGAAATCATTTTATCTAAAAAATGAAAAAAATAAGTTAACAATCGGCTAATTTCCATTTTAAATTTAAATTGGATGATAACTTTATCTGTAAATAACTTCTATAATTAATCCCATATTAAGAATGGCTAAATTTATAAATCCTCTTTATTACCTTCGACCATCTTCATCAATTGCCCATTGATCAAAATTTGTTTGAAAAATAAACCATGTATTACGGCTGGAATTAATTTTTGTAATATTTGCAGCACTCCAACGATTCCTACAAGATTCAAAGGTTTGATCCATAAGAATAAGGTACGATGGTTCGATGAATATAAGGATTTATTAATATTTTGTTCCAATAAAAGATCTCAGTTGACAAAATTAACCTTGTAATTAGAACACCTTCATCACTTCGAGGTCCACCTAATATGAAATATGCTGGTGCAATGAGATGCACATTATTTAAATAATTTACTGCACCAAAATACGTCGTAAAGTCTTGTAGCGTCTGCAAACTTTACTTAAATATCAATATATTGACGATGAAATTTAGTTAAATTCTGAAAATCTAACAGAAAAATCCGAGCAAAAAAAAATTATATATACAAATTTTCGAAATTTTTGAAAATAATGACAGAAAATTATGTGCCATATGGATTTTCATTTCCAGCAGTTACAATAGAAGTTTAGTAAATTTGAATTCGACTATGCATCAACTAAAATACCTGACGCATGATAACTCCAATTGGTAGGCGGAATTGTGTATAAAGTTCCATAAATATATTGAAAATATACCACCCTGTTTCTAAAATCTGATCCTTTTTTTCTTAAAAGAATTTTCAAATAATATATAAATATTTATGCATAATTTTGCTCGAGCAGAATATATATATATATATATTATAGGATCATAAATGAGATCGCAAAACTTTTGCTGGGGACGGCAAAAATAAATATTCAAATATAATAACATTTAATATAAAAATAGAGATATATTAAAACATACATGAATTTTAAATTATTATTGGCGAAAACGATATATATCGCTTTATTTTACTGTATAATTGAAAGTTTGCAAAAATAGCTATCAAGTGCGGCAGATACCAAGCCTCCCCTATTGTTCTGTAAAGATCTAAACCTCCTCAGTCAGATAATCACCAGAAGCGAATATGGATGCAAATTCAAGAGAGGGACTACCATCAGGCATCTTCTTTACATGGATGATTTCAAGTTATAAATGAACGAGATATTGAGTCGCTCATCCATTTAATTCGGATCTACACCGAGGACATTGGGATGTTATTCGGATTATAGAAATGTGGCCTAATGGTAGTAAAGGGAGGAAAAGTGGTAATGACGAATGAGGTGGACCTGTCAACAGGGCCTATAGCCGACACATAGATTAGTTATAAATACTTGGTTTTCCAGAGTTACATGGCAACCACGATGGGAGGCAAGAAAAAATCTAAGAATCACCAAAGGATAAGACAAACCTTGAAGAGTTAGCTCAGTGGAAGAACAAAATCCATGCCATAAATATACACGTTCTACCAGTCATTAGGTACACAGCTGCCATTGTAAGATGGACAAAGGAAGACACTGAGGCTGCTGATGTAAGGACCAGGAAACGCCTCATAATGTAGAACTGTCTTGAACGAAACTCGAAACATTCAAAAATATAAGCAAGATGAAATGCTCTGAAAATGTTTGAAGCACGTATAAGTACTGGAAAATGATCAAGAAATACCATGATAAAGCAAGGTCATCCATGATTGCACCATTTGCAAATAGCTGAGACAACTGAGGTACACTGTAAATCCTATTAATGGTTGAAGAAAGCTAGACTAAAAGGCAATACTGAGGCACGCATCAGAGCAGCCCATGTACAAAGATCAAGGGATTTACTACATCAGGCTCAAGATTCATTTGCTGGAAAAATGTCTCAGTTCAACACATAATGGCAGAATATAAGAAGGTACAACATAAGATAACAACATACATTACCAAGTAGCTGGTATCATCTATAGATATGACTTAAACCCTTCCAAGACCAGAGGAGATATTTCTCATAATATTATAGAAAATAATAAGACGAAGATCCTGCAGGACTTCCCCATCCAAACAGACAAACAAGTACTGACCAATCAACCAGATATTGTGGTAATAGACAAGATTCAGAAGGTACTAATGATATATATAGCAGTAACCAAGTGACAGTATAATTAGGAACAAGGAATATAAGTTAGAGAAATACTAAGAGTTGAAAGAGGAACGAGAAAAGATGTGGAAAATGAAGGCCAAATAGTCTAGTGATGGTTGCAACTAGGAACTGCGATCCCTAAGATAGAAAAGTGGTTTCAGCAGATTCCAGGATCAAAGAAAGAGATTTCTATCCAGAAGAAAACGTGCTGCCAAGAAAAGCGGGGATATCGCTCAGATCCTTCAATATCGCAGGCCTCTAGTAAAAAACCTGAGGTTAAGGATGACCCATACTACTCATAGGGGATGAGCAAAAGATTTTTTTTTCGAAGAATTATATAAAAGAAAAAAAACTGGCGAGCGCTCTAGTTATGTCAGCTTGACTGGCTATTAATCCTGTTGAAAAATTTTGTTAAGAATCACTTGACAATATATAGGTGAGCTTCCAGCACCGTCCGTATTTTCTAATATACGCGAAGGCGGGACCTGACCCTTCCTTTCAGCACATAATAATCTCAGCTCTTATCCAATGCCATTATCCTATCTCCGTATAATTCATTATTATCTTATTTATATAAATTTATAGAAATTATGAGGAAGGAGTAATGGTTAATAAAAGGTTCATGTTCCGAAAAAGTGTATAGTGTATGTACAGCAAAATATGCTACTTCTTGCATTGAGACTTAGAGTGAATGCATTTGGCCTTTGTCCAGTTGTTACTCCAGAAAAGAATGCGAACGTTAAGGCTGAAAAGATAACCTGAAAGATAATTTTTTACAAAAAAATTTAAAAATTATTAAAAATATAAAGATCTGTCAAAAAAAATGAAGAAATAAACAGTTCAAATTATCCCACCATCTTTATTTTTTAACTGAAAAATTTAATTGTATTTATTGGACATTTAAACGTTTAATTTAAATGGTTACATGCAAGATGGACATTTAAATTTTAAGCATTAGATAGTTATGGTAGATAGTTATGCAAGATGATGCGGATTCATATTCTATGCTTAAATATAAAATAAAGTTCTCGCTCTTGTGGGTGGTATGGACTATCTCCCTTAGATTCTTTACCAGAGGCCTGGGAAATCGAGGTAGGACAGATTCCAGTGGATCTCGCCCAAGGATCCTTACAGGGAATATAAAGATATTCGTTGTTGTTACATTCTAAATTAATCGCCCGTTCTAATCACTACGGCAATATATGTATCTTTTTAAATATATATATATTTTTATATATTTATATTTTTTTAAAGAGTCCTCACCATTACTGGTTAAACTCGCTCCACTACCAGGGGTACCTTGGCGATAGAAATACAGGTGAATCGGAATTTATGCAGTTTACTCCTGAGGGAAATCGAACCCTCAGCATCGGCACTCCCGATTGAACTACAACTCACTGAGCCCTTCAAACCCCAAATACATGTATTTATATATGCATATATATTTTTGTTTATATATATATATATTTTTCTAAGAACGCTTACCATTTCTGGTTAAACTAGTTGCGCTGGGCTTGACCAAACAAATTTTCGCCAGAATTACTCGGCGATAAAAGTAAAAATGAGTCACCAGCATCACTGGCTTATATATTTAATTTAAATTAATTTCTGCTTCAAAAATTTTTAAATGTCATTTAAAACTGAATTTAAAAATATTTATTTAAAAATATTAATAAAAATATTAAAATACTAATAATTAAAATATTAAAAATATTAATAAAAAATATAAAAAAACAAAATAAAGTAATATAAAATAATGAATAAAAAATATTTAAAAATATTTCCAAATCTGTTAATTTTCGATGAACCTTATCATTCCTCGTAAATTCTGCGATAATCGATAAATTTTTCAGCAAATCGGTCATCCCATAATCTAGATTTCTTCCATGAAAAATATGACCCTTTTCATCTTGAATTATGACAGATGAGCAACCAATAAAGGAACCACTGTAATACGTTTTGCATATGTGAATTACCTCTTAGTATGGTAAGACATAATTTATTCGGCTACCCTAAGCCTTGAAGTTTTCATGAAGATTAAATTAACAGCTTTTCGAATGATTAGGCCCACTGATTTATCAGAGGATCGATCATGTAATGTAATGTAAATTTCGGAATACTGAAAAAATTTTTTATAATGTTAATCTGTAATATCTATAATCTGTACATATCTCTGTCTATAATCGGAAGGCGTATTTAAAAATTCTGGAAAAAAGTGGTGACTGGGAGAGTTTAATATTGGCCATTCAATCCATTAACAAAGTACGAATGATTTCCAATATTGAACTATTATAAATTTCGAAAATTATTAAAAGTAAACTATTAAATAAATGATGTCATGGCAAAATATGTATTGCTTAGATCTCTTTTTCTTAGATTGTTGGGTAGATACTGTATTGCTTAGATTATTTTTAGCAGCGCGGTTTAGCCTTTGCCATTAGTAGGAGTAAATCTATCTTAAAAATAATCCATGTCATTTTATTTGTATTCCTGTTTCCCTGGAAAAATAGTCTCATCCTGCAGTTGAGCGAGCCTAACCAAAAGTGGTGAATGGCATTGATTTTCCTAACTTATATGCGATATATTGAAACAAGCTAAATTGATAAAAACAAGATTCGCGTTAACTCACATCATTTCGTTAAAATTCGTGATATCATAAAGGACATTAAGGCCTACCATGTGACAGTATTCGATACCTGACACTTCAGCAATACCTAAAATTTCATATATATATATATATATTTATATATATTATTATATATATATTAAAATTTTATATATTTTGACACTATCCAAACATTTTACAGTTAATAAAGAAAATTTAAATTTGAATATTATTTGTGCAAAAATGAAATAAATTTAAATCTAATATGAAAAAAAATTTTAATAGTTTCAAAGGCCTAAAAAACGGTGAAAGCCTTTTAATAATTAAAAATTCAAAAATATTGCTGTTAAGTTCAATTTCCATTTCTGCCCTTGGTTAAGAAAAATCTGTCAAAATCCAAATGCTATCGAAAACCAACTGTAAATAATCTAACATGGTCCATATTTTTCTTCACTGGCAAACGATCTACAAATGATTTTGCCAACTTGGTGAAATTTTCAAAAAAAACAAATCATATTACCGATCTTTTAATTTTTATAGGTGAAAATATCTAGCTGAGCGAGGAAGAATGAAATTCAAATATCCATATAAAATTTTTTCTGTTGGTGCACTCGGTAGTTTTGAAAAACAAGGTTTTAGACTTATAAAGAAGAAATTTTTTTAAGAAGAACGAGCGAAATTCTTAGCGTAAATCTCTAATTTCGAAAGCAATGTCACTGAAAGCAATGTCAATGCTACTTAACAAAATTTTATATAAAAAATTTTCTAGCTATCAGTATTGGCAAATATTCAGTATTGGCGCTTATTTTTGATGAACTTTTCCGTTCTTTTAATGATATCCAAGCACGATAATCGACAACCGAATTTTCCTTTTTTTGAGAAGGCGCATTAGAACTTTAGGATTTCATAGAAAATTCAAACAGAAGAATATGATATTAATCTGATAGAATTTGATATTATAACCTGCTATTTCGCTCGAAATCTCCTCGGGAAAATTAAGCGCAATTTTTTCAGAAATCCAACAGAGTAATCTGCCATAAGGGAATTTAAAGTAGGTCCTGAAAAAATCTCCATTTTTGGCTTGAGCAAAAAAATCTGAATAAGTCGATCCTATAGCATTTCCAAACAAAATTAAATCTCTAAAGATTCTCTAAAGATCTCGTAGGATTTTATGGATTCCTAAATTTCCCGCTAAAGCGATTACCATTTAGTACTAATTATTTTTGCTCTATATTTTCATTCTGCATTTTATTTATTTCTTACTGAAATTTAATTTTGCTCAGTAAGGGACTTACATCATTATATCCTTCACTTGAGGTATATATTTTTTATAGTCTTTTATGACTTCGTTCCATCGTTTTTCTGGTGGTAAATCTAATTTGATTTTATACGCTTTTGGTTTATAATCAGCAAATGTATAACAAATGATAACATGAATTAATAAAAACGATCGCATATTTAATATCTTCAAAATATTGTTATATTTAATATAATTTTAAAAGCAAATTTCCCTCGTTATTGCGAATTGCCTTTTTGCATCAGTATATCAGTGACCAAAAGAAACTTGCTGAAATAACTTCTCTTACACCAAGGTCCAAATCTTGCCTGCAGCAGGAATAAACCTATCAGTCGAAATCTGAGCTGATAGCAACCCAGTTGTACTTCTATCGCCAAGTGCCTCTCTGGCAGAAATTTCTCATACTGAGAGTGCAACTGGCCTAAGTGGTGGGTGCCGATCATATTTTACTTAATTATTAATTAATTATTAGTGGTCAATGATTTGGAAAAAATACTGAAAATTCTACTTTGGTATAAAATAAGTGAAAAAAAATCTTTTCAATAAATATTTTGACAAAAGGCAAAATAATAGGTTTTATTGTAAAAGTAGAAAAACCGGTCGTTATGAATGAATGTACTTATAAAGGGAATTTTACTTATCGTAAATACAAATCAATTTCAGCGTTTTTTCTAAAAGAAATATGTTAAAAAATAATATAACTCCTTGATTAGGACTATGTGAGAAGGCACAAAGATGGTCGGCCAGAATATACAGCAGATACAGCAAAATATACAGCAAAATAGTAGGATTATTTCGATTTACGTCAAGTATCATTATCCAGACAATAGTGAACTTATCACTGAAAAATTCAGGTGGTGCTGGCGAAGGTGAAGTGCCACTTGTTCTACCTCGCCAGCAAAAAATTTCTGACCGTATTAATACCGAGACAAGCCTAGTCAGAAACGAATAGTAACATCAATAAATACCACGAAATTTTTTAAAAAAGACAAACAAATAGAACAAATAGAAAATAGAAGACTTCACTTCAGCTTTTAGCTGGGAATTTTTAAAAATATCAAATCAGATTCAAAGAAGCAATAATATTTACTATATATCAGGGCAACAACCATCAATGTTAATCAAATATTTTCTTCGTCGACACAATCGATGACCTTGAATCCAATTCATAGTTCCACCTGTGTTTCTTTTTTTCAAGTGACTCCAATTCCATAGCGAAATGATTTTATTCTCTTAATAGTTAGTAAAGTAAATTAAAGTTGTTGGCACCCATCATTTGCGGTTAAGTTCGCTTATTTGACTGCATTACGGTGGGAAATTTTTGTGCAGAATTATTTAGCCATGGAATTACAAGTAGATTGCGCAAGCACGATTCGGAATGGCAAGTTTATTCGGGGACAAGATGCGGACTCCTGATATCAATCTGGAAAATTATTCATCGATTGACTAATAGTTAAACCAAAATAAAACTAAATAAGAAATGGCGAAGCCAGGAAATTATGCATGACAGGAAGTGTTCGTTGATCCACAAAGGCCATTTTTTTGGTGAGTTTTGAAAATAAAACATAGAACATTTTTACAGGTTCTGATTCTTCTCAGTCAACTTCCGAAAATCGATTTAATTTCATGTTGAACTTCTAAAAAAATGAGTTCTTTGTATATATTCTTTTGATATTTCAAGAATACGAAAAACACCAAAATCTGCTTTAATCTCTAATAAGCTTTTATAAAAACTTATAATAACTTAAATCTTTTAACTGTAGAAGGTACCTTATCAAGAATGACCAAATTTCACGTCAGTTGGTGTCGCATGCTAAAATGCTAAAACATAGAAAAATCTTTTATAAAATAATTAATCGAGATAATAAACATATATATATATATAGAATCGTACAGCAAATGATATTAGAATAACTCGAAAGGCATAAATTTAAAAAAAATTAATGAAAAAATACAATAATATATTTATACATTTAAGTACGTTCAAATTGTGCGCCTCGGAGACTTTTCAACTGCACACGTAGGGGCGTAAAATGTAAGCAGGGACAGCTACGCTGAAAGTTTATGGGAATATTGTTCAGAATATAGCTCAGATCCTCCGGTGGGACTTTCCCATACACATAAGGAATGTCAATCAAACAGATATCATGATAGCAAACAAGAACCAAAAATTAGCACTGGTGAAAGATATAGCAATGACGAGAATATTAGGAAAACAAATATGAAAGCTAGAGAAGTACATGAAGAAGAGAAGGAACTAAAGATGTAGAAAGTGAAGGACAATGTCCCAGTGATAGAGAAGTGATTCTAAGATTCCCGGTTAAAAAAACAATAGTAGAGATCTCTCTCCAGAAGAATGAACAGCTGGAAACTATTGCTAAATGACTCATACACTAGCCACATGGGGTAAAAAATGATGTTTTTAAAATGCATATGACTATACTATAAATAAATCTGCACGAAATTGAGTTGAACGCACAGCATAAAAAATAAAAATGATGAAAACGAAAATAATTTGCATGTCCGACAAATGCAAATATAATTCGTACGCAAGATAAATTTAATTATATAGCCATAACAAATATAAAATATTTTAGCTTAAGAGTCTCTAGAAGGACCGAGTTTCAATTTCATGCTGCGGTCATCAAAAATATTCAGAACAGAATTGATTTTGGAGCACGAATTCGAATTTAATTGCATACGCCTGTCAAATATATCGGTTCGCCGATTAAAATGGTCGCATAGACAACGACGATCATTTGTATCGGGCTGACAGTCCATATGCATTATGTGCCCACATCTGAGATCAAAAATATAAATTATAAATTATAGATCGAAATATGAAATATAAAGGTCGAAATAATTTTTTTCACAATTTTTTCAGAAAAATAATCGAAAAAAAAACCTATAAGCAATTGATGATTTACTTAATGGCTGAGAACAGAAAATGCATTTGTTTGAGAGAATTAATTCAGTACATCGACAAGTTGATTCTACTGCGATTTTCTTGATACTAAATTAGCAGACTGATATCACAGCAATAATACATATAAAAATCATTTTCTCAATTATTATTTTATATTACCAAAAAACAATGAAATAATAACTTTTCATAAAGAAATAAAGATTGAAGGACAAAAGAATGAAAGACCGATAAAGAATTTTTTTTTTACCTTTCATTAGATTCTTGCTCAATGCATTTAATAATTGACTGCAATAAAACCATCTCATAATGACATATTTCGATTATACACTTTATTGATGAACTATATTTACCATAAGTTGAGTGCCTAAAATATGATTTTGAAACTCCAATTATTTATTTATCGAAAATACTTAAATTTTACAAAAATTATCACAAAAAGTTGAACAAGTCACCATCTAATGAAAATTCTTAAAAGAATCATTCCATAAAGTTAAAATTAAATTGAAATTCATCTGACCATTTTGATCATTATAATTTTTCTCCTTCTTTTGACAATATGCGGGCATTTCTACTTTGGCTGACTCAATCGACTATCATATTAAGAATCTTTCCTCAGAAAGACACTTGAAGATATATGAGGGTCCTAGTATGCAGACCATCAAACATTCACTTAAATGTCAAGCTACCAAGACAAGAATGGAACCATGCACAACAGAAGCAACATGGACCAAACACTAGCCATTTAGAGATAAAACGTCCGATAGCCAACAAAACTAAATATTTTCGAGGGGTGGAGGACTAAAAAATTTTTCATACCTAAAAGTTGGATGATTGAACAAGGTGTCGATAATCAACTCAGTTTCTTCACTTCCTCCTTCTATTATACTTGCAATAATATCGTTGATATACATCATGAAGCCTAAACACCAATTACTTCGAGAAAATCGCGATAAATAATATTCTACAGATAAAATTACGATTCATCCATAAGGGAATTAAATGGAAAAAGCATAAAAAAATCGAAATATTAGAAAATAATCCATCAAGAAACTGCAGATTATTTTAAATAAAAATAAAAATTATTAAATTATTTTTAATTATTTTCCTTAAATAAAAAAAATTATTTTCATTTTCATTTTAATAGCACAAACCTCCATTCTCTGTCAGTCTTGATTCAGGAAGCGTAAGTATTTTTAACAATAATTTTGACAGCCATTGACCTTTTTGTGATTGTAAGTGATAAGAAGAAGATAAACGAATAAGTTCTTTGATAAACTTCGCTAAAATATTTCTTTTAATTGCAAAAAATTGAAAGATATTATAAAAAAAAGCCATTAAAAAACTTGCAGCAAAGATGTTCATTCTCATTCCAAGCTTTTTCAAGTTCACCAAAGACAAATTCAAAGGCACGATCTATTAGCATCCGTGCTTCCAATAATAAGATTATAGATGAAGTGAGATCATAAGTAACAGCAAGATTCAAACACTTATCACTCCTTGAACCAATTGGCAACCAATGTCGTAATAAATCCAACAACATCTGAAAAATGTATTCTTAGAAAATTAAAAATTCAAAATGGTAAGGAGCAAAAAAGAGAGAGAACAGTGAAAATACAATTTCAGCTCATGACTTGTGAAGGAATATGCTAAAATATTCAAACAAAATAGCCACTAAGAGGAATAAAATCTTGCCTTATCCTTATCTTCTTTTTCAGAACGCATCAACAATCCTTCAACCATAGTGCAAAAAAGTTTTTCATCAATTTTGTCATCATCAGTTAAGGTTCGATGGCCTCTTTCGCATCTTAAGTTTTTTAGGAATTTCAGTCCCTTAACCAAAAGAATTTTTTTATAGAAAATATTTATTTTTATTATTGATAATATTTATTGAGAAAATTACTAGTGATTTCACAAAATTACAAGCATTTGAATTTTTAATATGACAACCTCACTAAAAAGCAATTGTATAAGAGAGAATATTCATCATTTCCAGTAATTTGTTCATCGTTCAACAAATCAATAAAATAATTTAAAATAAGTTCAGCGGTCCGATATGAGTCGATTTTGGTCAAAACCTACAAAAAAAAGATCCTATAAGAAATTATAAAAAATATAGAATAAATAAGAAAAACAAAATTTATTTAAACTGATTGAATAGTGTAAATTGATTCAGGGAAGTAAACAAAGTAAATTTTATTTTAACAAGCTGAATCGCAAAAGAAGACAAGCAACGCTTCCAGAAGCCGGGATTGTGGCTTAAAGAAATATAGTCAAAATGACCATCTACTGCATGTTTATACCACTAATAAAATGCTATGCTATACTATCTATCTGCCAGCAAAGGTGAGGTAAAGAGATGATCGCTCTCATACTACTGAACAACAACATTCTAAGAAGGACCTTATGAAAATATATTTACTGAATTCCTATTTCACCCATCACCATATTCTAAAGATCCCTCGATAGCAACCATAGAAAAATATATTTCAGGAAAACAAGAGAATCTTAAAACTGCCTTCAAAGAAAATGATTTTAGAGATTGGAACTTTGTGCAAATAAATAAAAACATATACACCACGCTGTGGTGTGCTCATTTTGAATAAAAATATTGAATTTCATCATAGAAATTATAATAATTAATCAAAGAGAACGTTTAAAATCGTGGAGATTTTCAAGGAGACTACACTTACAGATTTCTCTACAGGTTTCAAAAAAATTGTAAATTATAATGCAATGTTATACCACGATGGACGATCTTATAAAACGCAAAAATTCAGAATGTTCATCTTGCGAAAGTTCAGATAAAAGATTTTCGATAACAATGAAAACAGACGGCTGAAAAGTGCTGAGATACAAAATAATTCAAGCTAAAATTTAAATTATCCTTCGAGATTAATTCCCTTTTCCCTTACTAGATAAATTCATCCATCACAATGAACAAATTTAAAAAATGAGAACAATTAATAAAAATAAATCTAAAAAATTACCGAATTTCTCTCATCAGCAATATAACACTGAATTAAGTTATGGAATTGTCTTCGTTTCATATAAAAATACGCGCAAACTTGCATACTGAAATACAAAATAATTTCACTGTTGCATCCAACCCTAATCTATATTTTACCATTGTAATGATTCAGAATGAAAAAAAAATATATTATAAAATATGGTACATAAAAATTTTCGATATTCTACGATATTTTATATTATGATATTCAAAAATCCATTCAGATGAACTAATTTCTTAATGATCTAACGTAAAATCTAATTAAATGTATTTTTAATAAATTTATAATAATATACAAAGAAGCTTTTTCGGCAAGATTGAGAATAACAGTTTCATCCAACCCATCCACCATACTTAGCATTTCTATGATGGAACGTTCCGTTTCGCTCGTATGAGCTTCGCAAATACTATTTGAAAGGATTGATCGAATTAGCTGCAAAATTTTCATCAAAGTTATATTTCAATTTTTTTCTTTCAATGTAGTCGAAGAAATTTATGAAATACCTCAGAAATAATATCAAGTGGAGCCATGATTGATTTAATTTTGAGTAAATGAGCAATAAAATTAAGCAAATAAGTCGAATATTCGACATTTGGACATACCGTTATTTGATGGCAAATCAAGATCAACTTTTGCAGTCGATCTTCACTGAAATCCTGGAGATATAAACAAGCAGCATTAAATATAAAGGATCAATCGATCTTTAAATTCATTAAAGAGTTCAACAAAAAAATATTTCTTACTTTTCTCTAAAAATAACTGAGTCTGAGCAAGTGCAAATAACATTGAAAAATTGAGGTGCATCAAATTTTATGAGTAAACGTATATAAGGATATATCGAGGAAGCTAAAAATAAGAGCAATTAAAATTTAAAAAATAGCAATAATTAATTAGATTAATTAAATAGATCAATGAAAATGTGTTGATGAAAAAAACGAAGGATATAAAAACTCGCCATTACTGCCATCTTTTCCTCTAAATGACGTAAGACACCTGTAAACTTTCAACGGCAAAGTTTTAGCCAAATCATAGGGTAAATTACCGAAAGGATAAGCTTGCCCTAATAGGCAACACTGCAAATATAATAATAATTTATTGCCTTGAGCAGTTTCACAATCTGATAATACTCCATCCAGACCGATAAAACTCTCCAGAGCTATCAACATATCCTAAAATAAATACACAATTCATAGTAAAAATTCCTTTAAAAAGTTTACTAATTGTTATAAATATTAAAAAAATATCGGAACCGAAAAATAACCTCTAGAGGACCAATAAAATCAGATAAAGCTCTATTATATATACTTATAATACCATCATAAAGATAGTTAGCTTTACAGATTGTCATAGCATAATGTATGTCCAGCTTATCGATTGGTATACGCACAACAGCAGCTTCAAACTGGTTAAGATGACCTTCGGTCATAAGGTAATGCAAGTAATCGGAAATCTATAAGAATAGTCAGATTCATGCTTATGAAAAAAGAAAAGATTTTAAAGCTTACTCACCATAGAAGGAGAGATATCCTCAAAATGACCATCTATAATTAATTCATCCAAGAATTCAAAAAACACAGATTTCGAAAGTGGGTCCTTTTCAAGGCATGGATATATGGTGTTATATAATAAATCGAATTGACTAGTCAATACACAAGTTCGTACAAGCAAACCGATATGCTTCTATAAATAATTCCTTTATGAATATCGCAAAATATTTAATTGTTGACAAATGAGTAATTTAACCTCAATATTTTATATGCAAAATCACTTTAGGCTATAATAAAAAGAAAAACCACAAATTTCATATAAATTATCTAATTATCTAATGACATTCTTAATTTTTCAAAAACGTAACCTTATAATGATCAATAAGTTGAACGATTTTCCCAAAATTTAAGCCATCAATTGTTAAAACGAGTAACTGCTTGATAAGGTCAGGAATCAAAGCAGAAATGGAATTTTGAATATCATTTCTACTAGATCTATTCAATACTTTACTCGCGAATAAATCAGTCGCATATAGTAGTGCTGATGAGATTTCATTCCTGGAAATCACCAAAAGTGTCAAAAATCAGTGGAAAACAATAATTAAGATTTTTTGAATATTGAATCTTATATGAAATTTCAATCTATCCAAGATTGACAATTCTTTCTAATTAAAATTTAATTATACTGAAAAGAAGATAAAGAAAATTACCTCTCAATGAATATGTCCAGTTGAGTTAATGGATCCATTAATGTAATAGTATGCACAGAAAACTGTCCTAAAATGTACAAAATACTGCCCTCACGACAAATAGATTGATAACAGACCGCATCAGAAAGCATTTGCATAGCTAAACTAACGTTTCCACCAGTCGATAATCCCTTAAAAAAACAGCATGAACTTTAAAAAATTCTTAAAATTCTTGTAAGAATGAATAATAGTACCTTAAAATCAGCAGTTGCATAGATGAGTTCCATTTCAGATATGGACATACTTGCTTCAATAATATCCTTTCGTTCAATATCAAATAAATGAACCTTCTCCATCGGATCTATTGTTAAAAAGCGGTAAGAGTCGATCCACTTCAAATTAATTATATCATATTTGAGCTGGAACGATCTAAACACATAAACTTTTAAACTCATTTTTTTCAGTATTTATTAATATCATATAAAATTTTTCTTAAAATTACAAAGAAAAATTTTTCAAATTCCTTCCAAATACCTTATGTGAGTAACATTTTTGGACCCATGAGAATTGTTGGTTAAGTGAAACAAATCAATTCGAGACTCACGACCTATACAAAACACTGGACCTAAGATTTTCTTATTCCCAAGTAACTGAAAAAATTAAATTTAAAAAATTTTTTTTAATTTATCGTCATTTAAATTAAAAAATTTAAATTAATATTAATAAAATAAAGAAATTTAAATTAATAAAATAAAAGAATTAATTATTGAAATTAACGTATAACGCTTCATCCTTGTTTCAAAAAGCCTTAATCATAGAAAAGCTTCAGGTAGAAAATTCAGTAATGAACCATAGAATCAATAATTCGCCAATCAAATAGAGGCGGCCGATTAGACGCACCAGTATATGGAAGCATAAATATACATTGTACCTCAGGTAAACTGATGAGAAAAAATTTTGTTAAAGAAAACAGCGCTATAAATCGATCTTTCGACAATGAATTCATAAAGACCACCTAAATATTGAATGCAGAAAGTTAAACAGATAAACGAATTTTTCTATAACATAACGGAGATCAACAAATGTAAATTCGTCACTTATAAAGCAAAATAGACAAAATAAACTTCGCCATTTGATCCTGAAAAAATGCAACGAAGTTGACGAGAGCGTATAGCACTTGGTAAACGTAGCTCATAAACTGAACCACCATTATCCAAAATAACAAGGCGGTGACCTCTAAAAGATAAGCGATAAATGATATATGAAAAAATTAAATTTAACAAAGAAATATGAAAAAAAGAAATGTTGAGTACAGTTAAAATGAAGATACTCTTGATCATTGATCATGCAAAAAATCATCTAAAACCAAAACAAATAAAAAAAAATATTAACAGACCTGTCTACTGCAATAATTTGCAAAATCCCTTTACCAGGCTGGACAGCATCAAACACTTCATGTACTATTTTACCCGTAGCTACAGACATAATGCATAAGGCACCAGAGCCAAAACCAATAACAAGTTTTGTTGCTTTAGAAATGAAATAAAGGCATGAAACTGGACATCCACCCGAATCGAAAGAATGTTCCAATCTTAATTTTCTTTATATTAACAATCTTCTTTTAATAGCTCTCATCATTATTGACTTTGCTAGCTACAACAAAAAGACGTTTCCAAAGTGCTCGATCTAATGCTATTGCTGATTGCCATTCCATTTTACAGCATCTAAGTAACATATCGCTGGTCCTTCTACATGTTCAAGATTTTTATCTGACTATATCAGTCCAGGTGTTAATTAGACCGCTTTTAATGCCATCTATCACAGCATCTAACAAATAACGAAATAAGTATCAATTTTTGTGGTGGGCGAAGAACATGTCAGCGAAGGCGATGCTCTGTGATAGTATTGCAGGTAATTCAGGTGATATTTGAGCGAAAGTTGATGTCACTGTGAGATTTTATCCACACGGCGAACCCATAAAATGCATCATATGAGTGGTCAAAGGCATATAGCTTCTTAATTTTTTTTTCCTCCACTCTCATTGACCATGTCTCGGAGCCATATAACAAAATCGAGTGAATTGCAGCGAATTTCTAGATGGACTCGGACTTTTTTTATGGTAATTTCGCTCCATAAAAGTTTCATCAAAGTTTTTTCATATTAAAAATAACATTTTAAAATATCAATAATCGCATTCAAAGTTATCTCCTGAAAAATAGATAAAGTGGAAAAATGGGTGAAAAACCTTTGAGTCTCACGAGAAAATAGAAGAACCATTCCTCTACTAGTTCCAACCGCGATACAATGATCAGAAACTGCAATAGCACTCGCTGGCCCGCCATTCTGTCGACTATACTGAGCAAATAATTGATGGGAAATTGATTCTAAAATTAATTAATAAAATCCAAAATGACTTCAAGAAAAGTGAAACTTCTCGCAGTTCCATCGTCAAAATAAGATTAAAAAAAACATCAAAAAGAAATTCCTATAAAAAGTGAAAATTAGTGTAATATAAACTATTATAACGAAAAGAGTGAGATATATATATTATATATTATACATATATATTAGATACATGGACTGATACAAGTAAATAAACATAACCAATGATTTAACTGAATTTTTTCCAATTTTATTATCCAATTCGTAAAAATTTAGGATCTACGATATTTTAAAGATAAATTTCACATTGAAATTCGTATTTATAATTATTGGGATTCCGTCCAATTTAGAATCAATCAGCACTACACCATCAACAATGAAGCGCCTAATGGATGAATTTAATTATTTCTGCAATCGTCTGATTAAAGGAAATTTCCGCCATTTAGGATTATTCTTCCATTGTCCTTGATATACCGCCCATATTTCACCAATGAATAATTTATTTATAGTTTATATACGAGGAGCGAATGTTTGGAAGAAAAGGAACAAAATTTATTGATGGATAGTCACTCCTATAGTTAAAATAGTTAGAATAGTTGATTTTCAAAATGGACGAAACAATCAAAATTAGGTATGGCCATGCCTATCTCAATATTCAGAAAGATCTCAGAGCGCAGAATCTTATAACTTAAAGAGAACTAAATTGACAATATTCATCTACTGTTTACTAAAATCAATATTCCATCAGTATACAGATTTAGAAAAAGCTATCTAGCAAAAGGGATTATCAGTTCAACTATGATAAATTTTTAATCTATTATGAGGTGTCGCAATTTAGAGTCTTAAATGTTTGTCACTCAATGCAAAGTATAATAGCATCTATTATAACTTAAAAAGAACTAAATTGACAATATTCATCTACTACCTACTAAAATCAATATTCTCTCCAGCTGCCAATGTGTTTTGTGGTAATCGTAAGTGATCTTGAAAATGCGTTTTGTGTGTGGTCTTGACATAAGCAAGAAACTAATAACAAATGATTTTGCATCGGCAATTTTATTTAGAGGAAAGATGAAGAAAACAATGGTGAATGTTCTTCAACCTATTTGTACGTTAAACCGATTGATATTATTAATCTGTATGTACGTGCAGCAGCTTTTCTTCCAACTTTTTCAGAAAATGCTCTGTGCAAATCAGGAAAGTCCAAACGATGGATATTTCTGCAGAATGGCTACATTCGATATGAATTAATTTTTCTGAAAAAGCAATCCATCTTAAATTTAAATATTCATATTGATGCAACTTCATTATAAATGTTTTGCCATTTGGTACCACCAGCACCAAAGAATGATGCTTTATGAAGTCTCTGTTGTAAGAAACCTTTTGAATTCTGGCAATCATAAAACTTTTTTGTATGTAAATTTTTTTGTCCCCACCATTCAAAATTATTCACAATGTATTTCAAGGAATTTAAATATTCCATTAGAACAAAGTCATTCTGTCTGTTCTTTAGAGAGAATGGCGTTTAAATATAAATCGTTATTTTTCAATATCAGACCATTGCCAATCTCGACCAGCAAGGATGACATTTGATTGGATTGTCGTTTTCAGTCAATTTAGAAAACGGCTCAGAAGTAGTCCACACCACAAAGTTGGATCAGTGTTATTACATGTATAACCCGAATTTGTGATTATTGGCGCAGATCACCGATCATAATTATAATCAGTGATAAAGACAGCATGCTAAGTGTAGATTTTTATTACAGATCGGTTTAATGTTGAAACAAAATCACTGGCAATTTTGAAATATCGAAGGAATGGATACAATTTTAATAAACCTCTGCTAGATTTTCCTTTCAATTTCTGCATGAAATGTCTAAGAATGTCCACTATCCATTTTAAATGAATAAAATCTCACATTGTCTAATGTCTATTGTTATTACCATAAATTCGATAACGAAATTATGCGCGCATCTTTTCGTTCGGTGTAGAGCTAAAGTATTTAGGCATTTATAATTAGCATTATACTGTGAAAGCTACCAATCAAGCTATCGTCAACCAGAAGTATACTTTTACCTTTACTACAACTTTTTCCCACTATTATTATTTTTTTCCCTTTCTCTTTATTCCTTACTCCCTGCTCGCTCTTTTTCATCGCGTTTCTATTTGCCAACAAAGGCGATTATGTAGAGGAGCAAATATCAAAAAAGTCTGAAGTAAATTAAGATGAAAAGAAAAAAATTTCGAATGTTTAAAAAATACAAATACAAATGAAAAAACTAATAAAATAACAAATAAATAAAGAAACAAACCAAGCTTAGCTTTCAAAGTGATATTTTCTGACTGTGAAAGTGATATTTTCTGACTTCCCCATATCTGCTGATTTTTTTTTATAAATGTCGCTTGATTTCTTATCAAAGTGCACTTAACTGATCTAATTTTTATTTAAACCTTTCTGATTCTCTGTCATTCAATAAGTCAGATCGTCGGAATTTTCGAAGCAAATTCACATCGCTGGTACCTACTTCTCGACCCGTCACTGAGACAGCGTTATTTCGGCGTTATCTCTACATTCATCTTCATTGTAATCTCGATGAAGTATCTCATGGTCATCCAGTACAATTTGACATGGTTTTACTCTACGGTATAAAAATATTTTCCACTAATAATCTGCCTGTCTTATTTTATTTCAAAATATAAATGGATTGAACATGCCATTTTCCACATAAATAAAGCTCTATATCTTGTGATTCCAGTATATTCTGGCATTTTTCCTATTTTTACAATATTTTTTCATCCACTTTTTTCTTTTATTATATTACATAAATTATGTATGAATTTATTTCAATTCCCATTTTCACTTCAAAAGATATTTAATATTAGTTCACTGACCAATCAAGCTATCGTCAACCAGAAGTATACTTTTACCTTTACTACAACTTTTTCCCACTATTATTATTTTTTTCCCTTTCTCTTTATTCCTTACTCCCTGCTCGCTCTTTTTCATCGCGTTTCTATTTGCCAACAAAGGCGATTATGTAGAGGAGCAAATATCAAAAAAGTCTGAAGTAAATTAAGATGAAAAGAAAAAAATTTCGAATGTTTAAAAAATACAAATACAAATGAAAAAACTAATAAAATAACAAATAAATAAAGAAACAAACCAAGCTTAGCTTTCAAAATCGGTGGATCAAGTTGATAAGAAAGATCAGATTCTGTAGACAAAATATGACCTGTTGTTACGATTGAAAATAAATCATCATCGCCCAAGCTCAATTCATCTTCGAAATTAATTGATTTCTAAATCTTTTAAGATCTTAACTTCTTAACTTTTAACTTAATTCAATAAATAAGTCGCAATCTTAAAAAAAATTATGGAAAGTATGCAAAAAAACTTATTTCTAAACTTCCTTTCTAAATTTTTGCATAAAATTTTCAGAAATTTATAAAATATTTTTGTTCTAAGAAAATAATGATAACAAAAGGTAAGGTACGGAAAGAAAAAAACATTTTAACTGAAAAAAGAAATTTAATTAACAATTAACAATTAACGACTGAGGATCGATGTTCACTTCTGACTCCAAGTATTTTACCTAGCCATCACCTGTCTGCCAAAACAATCAGTGGTGTCAGCCAAGCCTAACATGGAAAAAATAAAGACGAAAGAACGCCTCATACCTCAGCCAATATTTCGTCAAGAGTTTGTTGCGGCGAACTGATGGAATCATCGATCTCAATCCATCGATCAACGATATCTTCGTCAGTCGCTACTGACGATAACGATGACATTTTATCGTTTACATATTTCAACTTCCTCCAATTAATCGCACATTTTTCTTATCAAATATTTAATTTGATAAAACGAGTTAAAAAGAACTGAAAAAAGAATTTCTTTATGATATATTTGTTAAATTAAGAAATAATTTACAAAACGAAAATTATTAAAAACGTTTAGTAACTGAAGGGCTTCTCGTTTATCCCAATCCCTCCCTAGTCGGTTCCATAGTCGAACGACCCTTTCTCCTATCTCTCTTCTCTCCCTCTTTACCGTTCTGTTTTCTCTCTTGTTCAGTACCACAAATTATTTAACAAAAAAATTCAATTTTTTGCAAAATACAAAATATGAAATCATAAAATTGTTGAATTTTCTTCGCCAAAAAGAAAAAGCAAAACAAATAGGGAAAAATCACCGAAAACCCTCCATAATTTTAAGGGGCCATTTCTTAACTTTTTTCTACGATAAAATTCGCTAAAAGACCACTTCGAAGCTATAATTAGCAAAAAAAGCTGAATACTTGCGCACCGCAATTTTTTAACACTACATGACAGCTCTTTCAGAGAGTGCGGTCCTCTTTATTTCCCTTTAATTTATCATATTTTCACTGCATGCGACCGACTTATAGTAGTAGGATTTTAGTGGAGCGTATGCGCGTAATTTTTCTCGTGCAATGGAGTGGCGGCGATTAGATGAATTCACTTTCGTCAGTGTGTTTTTTATTGTGATTTATTGCAGCGAAAACCAAAGACTGCCTTGTGGGTTCTCGAAATTACTCGAATTTCACTAAATTATCGTTTAACAAATATATTTTCGATTGTTCTTAGTAATTTTCCTTTTATATTTATTATTTGTATTTATTTTCAATTTTAAATTTGAGAATTCGCAGAAATTTATTGCCAAACTAACATTTTAATTAACGTTAAACGATTCGCAAAGTTTATTATTCAATGAATTATTTGATAATTTAAAAATAATATTTTTTAGAATTATTGAAGTGAAGAAAATAATCTCTCCCTACTTTTTCATCCTCTTTTTCATTTATTTTCATTACTGCTTTTCTATTCGCTTTCTTCAATTAAATATAAGTGAATTTAAATTGAAAAATTGAGGCGTTCTTGAATCTTATTAGAGGAATTCAACGAAGAAAAAATGGCTGTAAAGTTATAAATTCATCGATGGGCGGGTTTCCTTGAATTTGACTAGTTGCCAGAAAATAATTCTATCATTAAAATTTCTTGCAATAATCATCAATATTGCCGCAGGTTATAGTCCAATATAATTCTAACAGTCCAACAGTCCAATCTTCAATAATTTATTCAATTCAAAGAATTATTCGATGTTTATTTTGATTTATTTCACGAATTAAACGCTTTTATTCAATGGGGAGGATTTTTTTTTTCGTGGATTTATACTGTTAAATTAACTATGATTTGTCGAGTCATTGAAAAGCAGCAGTCACATTCATTAATTATTATTTTTATTATTAATATAATTTTCCTAAATCGGATGAAATGTGGGAATTTTATGGATGAAGATCGTGGATTTCATTATTTACAACGGCTGAAAGAATTTGAAAGTAGTACGTTTACTTTATTCGCCTTTTCTCCTTTGAATTATTTTTCTCTTTCCCATGAAGTAAAATTCATATATTTTTACATTTTTTGCACTATTTTTTAAGTTGAAATTTTTAAATTTCTGGTTTCTACAATAGAGAAAGTTTTAAAATAAAACTCCGGAGTGCTAGATGAATTAAGATTAATTAAGCTTGCTATAATTCACTAAAGAAGAAATTTATTAGTACAAGGAAGGTTGTCCCTTAAATTTACTTATTGAAAAATTGAAAAATTTATAATTAATTTATTCAGTTTCATCTTTTTAATTTGCCATCTTTTTTGTTTCTTCAAAAATTCGAAGTTTTTGGATATAGATTTTTGTTACTGTATTTGAATTCTTATATGAGATGTTTGAATATGAGATGTTTGAAATAAATTGACTGTTAATATTTGTTTGTTAATTTTTTCCATTAAGTGAAATTTATTGTTGAATACTGTTGTGATTTTTTCTTCTTCATTTTCAGACCTTGATGTACCAGTTGATTTCGCAGTTCATCGCATATGTAATTGTTCGCAACCACACTGTGATAGCGAATTTAAAAAATTCCTCGGAATCAGTGGATTATGTCGATCAAAAAGTGGTACTTGCTTCAAACGTCTTTTAAGCGATAATACGGTTGTTTTTGCGTAAGTTTTTTTAATATTTTATTAAGATCGGCTTTCTTTGTTCGTGAATTGAAAGAAATCTTTCGTTTTTACAATTTTCATTTAGTTAATAACTAATGGTTCTGTTTCGTCCTTATCGATTAATTTTGTTTGCTTTGTTAAATTGTTTCCGAAACATTAATTAATTACTCCTCTATATGTGAAAAAGGAGAATTTTGCAACTTATTTTCATTTAATGATAATACTTTCAAAGTAATATTCATTTAGATGTCTTGAAGATGATTCTCTTCCTGAACTCTTTTGCGCTACAAGACAACCAGCATACGATGGTAGTGTTATGGCTTGTTGTCAGAATGTTTCATTTTGCAATGGTAATCTGCACTTGGAATTACCTCTTCAAGTATATATACCATATTTATCTACTTAAAAATGGTTTCAAAATCATTAATAATTCGCTTGCGATTGATATTTTCGTCTTTTTAAGAAACTTTTTATTTGATATTATCATCTTTCCTTAATTAACGGAGTTACTCGAAATAATGAAATTTTCAACCTATTTAAGTTGATTATTTTGTTTGAGATAGAATTTTCAGGTTCATAAACCAGTCTTTACTAAATTATTTATCGCATTATGTGTTACTGTTGTTGTACTTTTTTTCGTCATCGGAGTTATATCGTCTTTATTCTTAATTAAAGGTCCACTGAAAAATTACATGAATCGATGGAGGTCCCGAAATCATGACCTTGAAGTCGCCACACAAGGGTACCGTTATTTACTTTATAATTCTTTAATACTCATTTTACTTTTGGAAAATTTTATAACTTGAGCTTTTTTTCAGGACCAGCACGGAAGAATTACTTTTGAGTCCTACTTCAGTAAATCTCGGTCATTTAGGCAATTTGTTATGCAATTTGGATGATAGTTTCACTACCGGATCGGGCTCAGGTTTTTCATTAACTATTTAAAGATAGGTTAAAGTCGATAAATAAGATTTCTAAATTTTTTTCCTTTCATCCAAAATTTGTCAAATTTTCTTTTCTAAATCGTTTAATTTTTCATATCATTAATTGCCTTTAGGTTTGCCATTGCTTGTACAGCGAACGATCGCTCGACAGATCGAACTTCAAAATGAAATCGGAAGAGGGCGGTTTGGCGAAGTTTGATTTTTGTTCTATATATTAATCTTTAATTGACGATTTTTATTATTATGAGATGTGCGAATGAAGCTGTACATATCTGAGTTTATGAAAGAAAAAGAAGGATCTGATTTTTTCAAGTGAAAAAAATATTTCAAATTTTTAAATTAGAAAAATAATAGAAATAATATTTTACAGTATAAATAATAATTTAAAAGATAATTAAAAATAAAAAATTTGAGGGAGGTTTTCAAGAGAGGTTTGGAAATTTAAGCTAGCGGAGTTTACGCTCACTAATTATTCCAGTTTTCATGCTAATATATTGGCTTTTGGAAATAAAATTAGTATCGATTTTAAGAGGGCAATTTCCATAAGCTCTGATATTTTTAAATCAAATTTATTCAAATTTATTTTTCTTCGACTCTTTTTTGCTCTTTTTTTGTTATAAAATTTTATTTAGTTATTTTTTCGTATGGCTTGAAAAAAAATATTGATACTTAGCATTGTTCTAGGTGTGGCTTGGGTCTTGGAAAGGTGATCCAGTAGCAGTGAAAATTTTCAGTTCGCGTGATGAAAGGTCGTGGAACCGTGAGGTGGAAATTTTTCAAACTAATCTTCTTCGTCATCCCAATATTCTTCGCTTCATCGCATCGGATAACAAAGGCATCGCATTGTTCATTATTTGGTGACAAAATTTCACGAAGAGGATAACTTTCTATCCTACAGTTATAATACATCGTTAGAGGAAAAATTTTAAGTGAAACTGTAGATAACACACCACATAATTAAAAATTTTAATATTTGTTGTTGCTTAGAATGACTTAGTCCAGACTTGATTTTCTATAAAAGAAAGCAAAAAATCTAAAAATAGTGAATATTAAATATAGTTAATTTATGCTTAACAATGAAGAAAAAGAATATTAAATATTAAATAGATACTGGAACGAGTACGCAACTGTGGTTGATTACCGAGTATCACGAATTTGGATCTCTTTATGATTACCTAACAGAAAATACTATTTCTGTGGTTGTAATGCTGCAAATGATTCGGAGTATCGCAAATGGTCTCTCATTTTTGCACACAGAAATCCCTGGGATGCACAGTAATCGTTCATGTTTCTATTCATAGTCCAACAAATTTAAAAGTTAATCATTGGCTTTTTTAAATATTTAAAATATTTTTACTGGTGAACTGTAATATTTCCAAATATTTTCATTGCTTCACTGGGCTATATTATAGGTAAGCCTGCCATTGCCCATCGTGATCTCAAGACGAAAAATGTGCTCGTTAAGAACGATTTTACCTGTGTTATTGCTGACTTAGGTCTTTCTGTCCGTTATATCAATGGTGAAATCAATTTGCCTGACAATAATAAATGTGGCACAATCGTTTGTTTTTCAATACTTTTTCCGATTTGCTTTTTGAAATATTATTTTCATCTGTTATCTTTTATCTTTTTAGCGGTATCTTTCACCTGAAATATTGGAAGATTCATACCGAATAACTCATTTTGATTCATACAAAATGTCAGATGTTTATTCTTTTGGATTGATTATATGGGAAATTGTTATGCGTTGCGCACTTCACCGTTCGTTTTGCTTTATATTTTTTTATGTAGGAAAAGAAATAGATCTATAACAAACAGTTATTTTAGCCCAGCATTTTCAATTACCATATTGGGATTGCGTTGGACGCGATCCATCCATCGAAGAAATGCGATATTGGGTTTGTGAAAAGAAGCATCGACCAAAAATACTTGATTTTTGGCGAGTTGATAAAGTTTGTGGTTTTAATATTCAAATTATTTTTCAGTTTTTATTTCTTGAATTTGGAAATTTTTCGAAAAATTATCGTTAAGAGTTAACAGTAATATTTGAGATGCTGAATGATATAAGTCGGATGATGCAAGAATGTTGGGCACATGTTCCATCAAGTCGACTTACAGCAATGAATGTTCGAAATACTATCGATAAGATTGCATCGACGTTAGGCTACAAAATTCGTGTATAATTGTAAAATTTTCATTTCTTATTGTATAGTTGTATAAAATAAAATTATTGTACAAAGATGCTAAAAAAATTTTTTTTATAAATTTATGTACCACAAGCGAAATGGAATCTAACTTTTTATTGAATTGAAAATTGAATTTTTTTATTTTTAACTACATATTATAGACTTTCTGCTTTTAAATATGCGATTTATCTGATTCCTCATTTCTTTTAGAAAATTTTGTGATAAAATATGCTTGATTTTTCTATTTCGTTTATTTCGTTGTAAAATGTTTATTGCTACTGCTATAGAATTGATCACTGGTTATATTGTGCTATGGCTCCAGGTGTATTAACAGGATTATGAATTTTTGTGTGGAATTGCCCAATGGAAGGCTAGTTTTCGATTCTGTGTTCTCGCTTTCCATTTTTTTTTTTTTTGATTTTTAAAATTGAAATAGAGTTTTATGCACTCGTGATAATTGGCCTAGAAAGCTGTATATATTTATGATTCTCTTTATTCGTGATCGGATAGTTGTTTGTATATTTTTTATATGCGCTGGTATTCTTATTTTGTAACAAGTTTTTGGCGTGGTTCTTTCTTTTTTATTCTCTAATTTTCTTCGCTATTTTTATTTCGGCATCAGTTTTGTATAAATTTATATTTATTTATTTTTGTTTAAATATTGAGTCGAATCGCTCAATTTTTTCCATGCTTGTGCATAATTTTTTCTTCGCGAATTATTTCTAATATTTTGATTGTAAGGTATACCATCATATTTTTCGCTGGCATAAATATATTTTTTTATATATAAATATAAATATATAAATATTTTACATAAATATATTTTTGCTAGTGTTTTTTATATTTCTTGTAGATTATTGTTTTTTTTACTTTGTTCACGAAGGTTGACCTAAATGAATTTTATTTTGATTAAAATTAGCATCGTTTAGGAAAGGAATTCATAATTAATCGATCATTACAAAAATTCTTCAAATTTGGTTGGAGAATTGGAGAATTTTAAAAATCTAGAATAATTTATTTCTTGTCAACTCTTCATATATGATTGGATTATTTTCGATTGAATATGGAGTTGATCAGTTTTCCAATTCTCTTTATGCTTAAATCCGGTTATATTTGTAGTGAATTATTATAGTTTTATAGGCATTATTATAAATTTTTAAAAACATGTTTGCTACACAGCAGTTCGATGAAAGCAAATAGTACAAATCGTTAGAACGCAAGGGCTGCAGGATTGTTTGAAGTTTGGAGGATAATTTTGATATATCTTTGTGCAAACATAAGTTAACCAACTTTTTATTTTTTCAGAATGATAAGGTTGGGCTAAATTGTGAAAATTTGCGCTATAAAGCAAAAGATGACAAAAAAAGTACTGAAATGAAATGGGATTGAAATGGGACGAAAGTCATTTTTCATTTTTCACCAAGAAATGGGCTTTTCATTGATTTTAGCCTTCGAATCGAATTCTGAGTTGAATCCATTATCGGCCATTTTGTTAAAAGGGTTTTTTAATGGAAACTTTCGTGATAAGACGAGTTGATAAGACGAGACGAGAAAAGAAACAAAAGATTTGGTCGGGAAAAACGGTAATCTTAACGAGTGCATACAATAATGTGGCGAAAATATGTGGATGTGCAATGTTTGTTCATTTTGCTATTTATTCGTCGAAAAATAAAATTTAATGCGAAATTTTAAATGTTTTTATTGTATATTATTGGAAAATAATTCTCCAAATTCTGGCTAAATCGTAATCTATAAAATGAATTTTTTGCCTGCCTTTGCTTAAACTAGATTCGATCGTAAAAATGGTATCAGCGATGGTGTCGGATCGAAGTTTGGAGACGTGCCTTATAGCCAGCGAAGTCAGTCTAACCAATGACCAATGACGGTGAGAGCTGTGAAGAAGAAAAAACATAAAAATAATTTAACCCATCATAAGTCTTCCTTTTTCATTTCTTAAAGTTGAAAATTGAAAAAAATTGTTCGAATAATTTGAAAAATCAACTCGTTTTATCGAACATAATCTCATTAATTCGTCATTGAACATCATCAGTCACTTCCTAAAATAGTATCAATATCATGTGAATATTTGGTCACCACACCAATGTCCTAGTATGTCTTGTTTAGGCATTCCGCTCGGCCAGTCTATTCATATAACTGCTTCTTCAGTCCGTGGCGAACCAAGCACTTTCATTTTTCACAGCAGGAAGTGTCTCGATTTCGCTTTTAATGAGTTCAGTTTTACTTTTATCAAAGAAAAGAATTAATTTTTTTAGTCTATAATTTTTTTATAGACTATTTGAGAAAATCAAAAAATAATAGAATAGTATTGGCAAAAAGTAACATGCAAAACCATTTTTACTTCAAGTGTACATCTCCGTGTATGATGAAAGGAGTTCCTTTTGTTAAGACACATAACTCGTTCATTTAAAAATTGAATCAGCAAGTCTGACATTTTCAGCAGATGGGATGAGAAATTTGATCGTGACATTTTTGACCAGATCACCCGATTTCAGATCCTCTTCCACTGGCTTAAATTCGTATTTCTAATTTCTTTCTTGCAGTTTTTATGCATTTCTTCGACGTTTTTTTATAACCATCCAAATATAACATTAATGGCGCATAATTTTATTTCCACAACCCGAAAATTTCCCCGTCCTTTTTAAATTTTTAGCGAACTCCATCGGATAATCATATTTCAGTGGACTGAAATGTTTTCTTATTTCTCTTTTGATTTTTTTAAAGTTGATTTAAATATAAAATTAAAATTGAATAAGGTCAATTGAGGTAATTAATGTTCAAATCGAAAACATTCCAATGGTTTACAATCTCGATTAACCAACCGATCGTTTTCGTGCCCAGGAAAATAGAATAACATGAATTATTTTTCTTCTTGCACTTTCCTGATTTTCCAAATTCATTTTAATAAGTTTTAAACAAATTCATTAACAATTAAACCTGATTTTCCATAAGCGTTTAATATTTATTTCATTTTAAATGTTAATGTAAATATTAATCAAACATAGCAAATGGATCCCTTGATTTTTTTTGCAAAAGCGCTCACTATTTCTGATTAGGCTCGCTCTTACTTATTGATATATATCATATAAATCATGTGATACAAACAGAAATCACTAAGTTTACGGTTGAAAGCGAGCATATTGCGGAAAAAGCAGATATATCATGCGGCGGAATAGCAGAAAACCGTGCTCTAACTAAAGCTGATATATCAATGTCGGACTGAATCTTCCACCATTTCAGTTAATTAATTAATCAATTAACTTTATAGTTAATTCAAATGTTATCCTAACTAGTTAATTGGCAATTCGAAGGCATATTTATCTTGGCTGTGCTGAATTCATATATAATATTACTTTGTACAATTCGTTCTATTAGGATTGTTTATCATATATTACAAAAAACACAAAAATATAGCAGTATTTTATATGTAGGAGTGCAGTCATTATTAAAATTGGTAATCATCATAAATCATTAACTGCAACAGTTATCTGGCTTCTCATATTCCTAAACTCCAATTTATTTTTAGAGTTAGCTCTAACAAATTCACTCCGATTAAATTAGCATCCACTCACAGCCGCTGGTTAGAGATCATTTCACTGGCTATTAGTAAGATAAGGCGATGCCAGAGATCCCGGGGATTTAGTTAACGGTAAACTTCATAGCACTCGGTCAATTATAACTGATATAATAAAAATATCGCACAATAGATTTAGTGCGCATATTGAGAGAATCATTCTGAAATTTCTGTACTTTCCACGCCACATTCAAATATTTATATTCATTTGAATCATAATATTAAAACAAATCAATGATCTAGCAATCGACTAGTAAAAATGAAGACTCGCATCGATGACCTTGTGAACCATAGTGGCAACGATCATTGTATTCTGATCATATAAAGCGATAAGTATGCATGAATAAGCTCGATTAAAAGAGGTTAATAAACTTTAATTGATGTTTTACCCACCTTAAATATTCCCATATTCTCCTATATAGTGAATATTTTTTATTATTTATTCCAAAAATTTGTGAATCATTTTGCTAATGCAAATTGTTGTTCCTGGAAATTGAAATTTTTGTCTCAATGCTTCTTTCCGATTTATTGAAATGGAAACGATGAACTGGAATGTCAAAATAATTTTTATTGAAAAACTTTAAAATATTTTTTAAAGGATGTTCATAAATTTCAAGATTAAGACAAATGCAGTTTTCTCCATTTAACATAAGTCAATCGAAGTGTCTTGCAAATCTTTCTCATTTATATGGTTCATAGGAGATAAGCGCTAGTCTGCTTCCGAAAATACCAGTTTTTTTCAGTTTCCAGCGACATTTAGCAATTCTAAAATGGTTAATACCGCCTATATTGTTGAATCCGGTCGAACAGAACGAATGCACTCTTGAATATTTAAATAAAAATGAGCAAGACTTCTAACGCTTAATGCTTTTTGCAATCGCATTTTCATTTTAAGTCTCTCTCTTGTTTCTAATTTGCTTGTTTCTTGCCATCTTTTAGCCATCTTATCGCTAAATTTTTTTTTATTACACTTTCTTTCTGGCTTTGTTATTCACCTAAAATTGCTATTGTAATCCTAGAACATTGGTACCAAGCCTTTATTTCCTAAAGGCATTAATGGAATCTATGGAAGTCTTATCGCCTCGATAATGAACTCTTTTTGAATATGATTTTAAATATAATTTTGTTGTTCGAGTTAAAATTGATCTAAATTGATCTAAATTCAGTTCAGTTAGTATATTGCTGCAGTAAGTAACAATTGTCGAGATGGCAAAAATGTTATTTATGGTGTTTTTGGCTTTGGCTGGATATATTCTATTATTAGCTGAAATGGATCTTGAAGGATCAGGCGAAAATCCACCGGTCTTCGTCGACAGATCAAGTTTCAATTCATATTTAATGCAAATTTCTTAAAGCAAATATTTTTTTATAAAAAATGTGAAACTTATATGAATCTGATAATTTTCATTTGATTTATCACTAAATTGTTATATTAATTGTTTTATCCTACAATAAAAAGTTTCAGTAGCTGTGGATTCAAGAAAAAATGCATTCGAAGTTCTGGAAGATGGACGTGATTCAAAACAACTCACTGCAAGTACTAGTGATTCTGGTGAAATAGAAGATATTGAAAATTCTGGTAAAACAATGGATTTTGCAGGACCACATGGTCTAAATATTAGCTTAGCAATGAAAAATATTAGTTCATTGTCCAATGCGCTTACTAAAAAATCTTTGGAGCCACTGGAGATTGAAAAACAACGCGATGAAGTGGCTGATGATGAAGAAACTGAGGAGAATGAAGAAGCTGAAGAGAGTAAAGTCGAATCTGAAGCAGATTACAAAACAGAAGCTGCCAATGATGACATGACCAGTACTGGAACAGAGTTTACAACAATGAGTTCAGAAGTAACGACAGTTGAAATTCATGACAAAGATTCTAATACGACCGAATTAGTTAACTCTATAAATGATACAAAAGAAGTTGAAATAGCAAGGTTTTCTGATGAAAAACGGAACAATTCTGAAGCTTCATCGATATTAGAAACGATTGAGCTAGAACACTGCGTTCCAAAAAAGGTGTGTTCACTCGACAAGGATTGTGGATCAGGTAAATGTGCAAATAAATAATTTCAGCAAATGAAAGGGGGTTAAGATTCGTATATTTCTTATACATATTTAGAAGAAAATTTTTGGAATAAAAATGTTAATATATTGTTTGAAAATACTAATTTAGGAGAATCCACAAAATTCATAAGAAAAAAAATAAGAATAATCCAATCCATTTCCTTCTCTTGTCTTTTAATCTATCTGTTAATCTAATCCTTTCTCTTCTCCTGTAATTTGTCTTGCAATCTAGTTAAACCCTCATACCATGTAAAAATATATATAAATATGTAAAAATATGAATGAGAAAAAATGAATTTCAGGTAGATGTACAGGTTTCGCAGTTGGTAAATGTGACTGCTCAGCATGTATGTCTTTAGCGAGATGTCAAAACGATTCAGACTGTGGAGGTCTTTATGAGTCTTGCGATACTAAAACAAACATATGCAATTGCGAAAAAGGTTAGTTACTTTAGTAAAACTTTAAATTGCCAATTCTATAACATATCCACTTGTTTCTGGAGTAAGAACAAGACGGCTTTTGAATGAAAACGCCTTCCAATTTTGCTTCATGAATTTATGGAGCTTATGTTTAATAAGCTTTGTTCTACAAATAAAATCTGAATGAGAAGGCAAGCAGTGCGAATGAAACTTTTCATTGTTCTAAAAAGGCAAAAAATAAAAAAATTAACTAGCATTTCCAGATTTTATCAATTCCATTAGATTGTAATTTCTATGTAGTAAAATTCTCAATTAAAATCTGAACATTTCTATTGACGATTTTCTATTGTGAAATTTCCATGGTTGAAAAAGAGGTGAAATGTTCACTAATAAATTCTTTCAGGCCTTCGAATCCATGGTTTATCGTTGTTCGATGCGCTTTTTAAATTTTGTAATATTCTGGTTTGTAATGGCAAAGGTGATGCGTGTCTTGGACTTCCATGCAGAACTGGTACTTGCATATGTTGAGTACTTATTTATACTTAATAAATTGGACCGGCTTATCTGGTGATTTGTTAATGGAAAACAGTATATTCATGGGATATGCAGCTAAATCTTTGTTTTTTCAATATAAATATTTAAAGAAAATAATAAATATTATCTACATTAATTTTACAATGACATTAAATATTATTATAAACGTAACAATTATTATAAAATGGCATATTTTTTTTCATTTTGGTCATTTTGCTACAATTTATCGTAATGATATAGATTTTTAAATAAAACTTATTGTATTGCATGCCATTTTAATAATATTAATATAAGCAATAATAACGTCAATAATAACTGTAATATATAATAAAAATGATAATAATGTTTGAAATTTTTTGCCAGAGAGTCACTTCCGATCTAAATGAAAATCAGAATGAGTAGCATTCGGTTATCTTATTGCAATGATAATTTTCTAATAATAATAGTGATAATATGCAATGTGGTACAACATCTATCTTCAATGTTAATTGATTCTTCGATATAGTAAACCAATTTATTTAACTGTAAATTAAATATAATAATGCAATATCATTAAAAAATTAAAATTAACATTTAGGTGTAGAATTCTTGATAAATTTGAGTTGAAAAAAATCCACATGTTGAAGAATTGAAGAATTTGATGAATTTAACCATCAAAGCAAATGAGTTTCCTAAGGTGTCCAAATGTGATGAAAAAGTACAAAATTTTTGCGAAAATTTTTTTCGAGTATCATTAATGATATCAATAATTTTCAGAAATATCAATAATTATGAGTTTAATGCCAAATATTTCTTGATTTTGGATTTCCCAGATTTTATGATCAATCGCAACAATAGTTTTTTAACAATCTTTAATTTAGAATAAAAAGATCTTTATTATTATCTGAAAGTTTTGAAATTTATTGGAGGAATAGCCAATATTCATTAAATTCCAAGCCATCGATGACTGGTTTCCAGGGTGACGATTTAAAGATGAGTTAGGATGAGAAAAAAGATCGATTGGGAAGATGTTTGTCGCTTAGAATTGATGTCTAACTACAGAGAAACTCCTGTGTACCAGCAATCAACAAACGCTATTTTTCCGGACTCGAAAAAATTTTTTGGTAGTGAACGAACAATATACGAAACGAATCAAACGAATTCATTGCACACAAGTGAAATTTCAACGATGAAATCCAATTTATCAAGTCAACCAACCTGCTCGACCCATCAAAATGAGATGATAAATTCTGTAGAAAATTCGAATTCAGGTAAGCCAAGAGCAAGAAATATCGCCCGACGAGAACGTATTTCAAAAAATATCGTTAGAGTCGAACCTCCAACACACAGAACGGCTACAAATGGAGTTCTTAATGATGGCAAATCAAATCATTCAACACCTAGAAGAAGTAGCAATAGCCAAGATAAGAACCAATTGTCGCTTCCAAAAAGTATCGAAACTAAGCATGAAAAGGTATGCCATATTTAAACCCCTAAAAATGAATTAATTAATTGCGCGACGAATTTGTAAGCGGAAACAGTAACAAAAAATATCTCCATATAGCTTAATAAAAGAAGGAAAAAAGGTGAAGAAAGAGGATAAGGCAAGAAATTAATGCCTTGACTTTCATTATTTTAATAATTATAACTAATAATAATTTAATAATTAATAATAATTGTTGATAATAACAATTAATAATAATTTAATAATAATTATTTGAATAGATAATTTATGAAGCAATTCAAAAATTCAAATGAAAATTAACTTATAAAAGATTGATTCCTCGTTTTATTTTATGAATAATTTCTTTAAAATAAAAAATAAATTTTCTTAATTCTTTTATGAATTTTTTTAAAAATTTTTTTGCAAAATGTATCGATTATTTAAATTTTTAAATGCTTATTTAAATTTTAAATTTTCTTAAATGAATGGAACAAAATCAAGAAACCCGTATAAATTGTAAAAAAATTCGGAAAAAAAATTATAGTTTTATGCTGCTCAAAAATTTTTGCTAATTGAATCTTAATCGATACATTAAGAATGTTATTAATTAAATAAATTAACAAATCAATATAAAGTAAAATAAAATAAAATTTTTAATGGAAAAAAAGTAATTCATGAATTTCGAAATTTCGCATAAAAATACCTCAAATTTTGCGAACTTATAAATCATTTTAAAAAATTGGAACCAATTCCATAATTCTTAAATACCTAGTTCAGTTCTCAAAATGCAAATATCGATCCTAGAAATAGTCATAAAAATTAAACTTATTGGACTAAAAAAAAAGGGAGTCTTGTTCCACATCTGGCACATCATTGCCTACTAAGAGGGTAAATACAGTTGATTAGACTGGTTTTACTGGCTAATAGAATGAGATATTTTCAAGTCGCTCGCTCTGAAGCAACTTTCTTTTTCACCGTTTAATTCTATGACTTTATCACTTAACCGTATTTTCGCTTTTTTGGTGCCATCCATAGGCTTAGCATGCATCAAGATTTTCATCAATTTCTGTAAATGGTAGCGTGAAATATCGCCGGTGATGGTTTGAAATTGAGTTTTATCTGGCACTTGAAAAAAAAGATTTAAAAAGACGCAATAAAAGCTCAAAAATGAACAGAAGAAGATGGTATCTTAGACCATTAAAATAAAACATGCATCGAGAGATTACTGCCGACGATTAAATATTACTTATCGTTTTCTACTAAATAGATTTAGGCTTTAAAGTTGAAGAATTAGGTCTAGAATTTCAAATCCGGTTGCATATTTTATTTAATTTATATCATCTAAGCGAATTTGCTTGTTTTAATGAGTTCGATTTTTATAGTAGAAACTACAATTTTTAAGAAAAACTATAAAAATTTAAGAAGATGGTAGAGAAACTTATTTATTTATTTATAGAAAAACGAGGATCCTGTCTTTACAGCTAAAACATCTCAGCAGCTAGTGAAAGAGGAGGTCGTGGTTGAATTACCTGCTCAAAAAGCCAAGAATAATCATATGAAATTGAGTTGGTTAGCTAAGGTAAATGAATACTTCGATGTTAAGTATTTTTAAGAGTATTCAAGAGTATCATTTTTCTTCTATGAGTACTTAGCACTCACGAGAAATGCAATTTTTTTTTTGAGGTAATGAGAGCATTTCAACGAAACAGGATAGAAAATGCATCCACTGGTCTTAATTTGGATGTTGGATCCGATTCAAATAAAGTTATTTTCGTTGGAAACAGTATACCAGAGGATAGCGCTGAGAAAACGAATTTGAAATATTTTCTCTTGAAACATGTTGTTGATGTCAAAGATGAGTTATACTATCGTTGGCTTGGCATCGTCTCATGTGCTTTTGCATATAATCTTGTCGTCGTAATTGGTAAAGTTTTATGGATAGTTGTCACCAGTATCGGATAATTTAAAATTTAAGACTTTAAGGAATTTTCTAGAAATTTGAAAGGAATATCTTACATCGAATCTCAATCTAAAATGCAATTCTTAGCAAATTTTTATCTTATATATTCCATGCACATAACTTTAAAGATAAAATAAACAGCATCTTCAAAAATAGTAATAGTAATAGTAATAGTTAAGTTATATAATTTATAGTAATTCTGCAAGAATACATTTTAAAATACATATATATTACAGCTCGGACAGTATTCGTCGATTTGGCTTCTGGATTATTTTGGATTTTATGGGTTGTGCTCGATATTATCATGGATTCCATTTATATTATTGATATGATCGTTCGTTCAAGAACAGGTTTTTCACATTCTTCATATGCTTAAACAGTGATAATGTTTCTGATTATTATAACAGAGATCAATTTGTTTAATCTGAGAAATTTATTCGTTGTTATATTTCTTAACCATCTAATTTGCCAATAAATATTGAGATAATAGTTTTTGTTTTTTTTTGCTTTTCTAGCATTAATATTCTAGCACAAACACCTTATTTCTACCATATCGACTTCTTCTTTCGAAGCAAAACTGTTATTATATTAAATATTTGGGTTTTTAAAGGTTTTCTCGAGCAAGGCCTTTTGGTGCAAGATATTCCAAAGATTAGGAAGTTATATTTTAAATCTAACCAGTTCAAGATGGATTTAATCAGCATTGCACCTCTGGATCATATTGTTTCTATCATATCATTAAGGCCTTTTCCAATTTTACGTTTCAATCGAATAATTCGCTATCCAAGATTTGCAGATTTTATTGAACGCACAGAAACGAGGTGAAATTCAATTGTTTTATTTCCAAAATTTTTCTGCAGAAGTTATGTAAAATTACACAAAGTTAAGTTATATAATTTATACATAAAGTGAAAGTTCTGCGACTACATGATATCGATCCAGAGCAACATATAATGCCACCTATTACTGCTAATTAGGCTTCCACCACTGGTTATTGGTAAAATGAGATTATTCAATGACATGTTAACTCTTGCAAGGACAAGAACAGTGCCACACGAAATGAACTGAGCAGTAATTAATGCTTACTCTATCTCTGCCAAGATTAGGAAGTTATATTTACAAACAATTACAATTACAAAAAAATGGCAATATTCGAGATAATCAATCTGATACATTTTTAGAAGCAAAGCACCTAATGCATTTCGAGTTCTTTGCGTGGTTCTTAACATTATTATTATTATCCATTGGAATGCGTGTATCTATTTTTGTATTAGCGAGATGATTGGAATTGGCAGTGATGGTTGGGTTTATGGACCACTTAACAAACAAAGCTTACCTGAGTTGGTTACAGCTTATGTTTATTATTTCCTTCTTTTACTGCGATCTCTAAATTTAAACTTGGTTATGTTAATTTTTTTAGCGGTGTAGAAGATACATTGTTACGACGATATGTATACAGCTTTTATTGGTCAACACTGATATTAACAACTATTGGTGAGGTACCAGGGCCAGTTAGGAATATTGAATTCGTTTTCGTGATTTTGGACCTTATGTGTGGTGTACTTATTTTTGCAACTATCGTGGGTAACGTTGGAAGGTGAGTTAAAATTTATGTAATGGGAATATATGAATGAGTGATTCAATCAATTTTTATTTTATTTATTTTTATTTTATTAATAAATTTTTATTTCTTGGATCCTCAGACCATTTTCTCAACAACATAGATCATTACACTCAAGGTTAGGGTTATGTATTTAATATTATGAAGACATTGCAAATTACATTACCAGGAAGGAATGAGACTATGAAACCGCACTGCCCATTGTTACTTGAATTATTCCAGGCTTCTCAGGAATTTCATAGATTTTATAGAAGTTAAATTGTTTACAAATTATTATTACAAATAATAATCAAATAATTTGGACTGAAAGAGCCGTTTTTCAAAAATCTAAAAGAAATTAATATTTTAATATTTGTTAAACCATGTATTAAATTTAGCATGATTTCAAATATGAGTGCAGCAAGAACAGAATTTCAAAATAAAATGGATGCCATAAAACAATATATGTTACTGCGAAAAGTTGATAAACAGGTAGAACCTTTATGAGATCTAATAGCTACATTATTTTAATAAAGTTTTTTGCCTTTTCCAGTGAATGATATCTAGCTGATAAATAAGTGCCATTTTACCATTTCCGATTACACTTACTCCACTGGAGTTACACATTATGCTTTTAGAAATTCATGCAAGAGAATAACGATAGAAACCTAGGAAAGAAATGCAAGAGGATCGTCTGTACTGCCTAGGTTTTTATGACATTTATCCATAGGAATAGGAACGCGATAATCTTAGCCTATCCAATAGGCTACCTTGCTCCTTCCACTAGCTGGTAGTTAAAAATCTGAAAATAATCTCCGGAATTTCTCAATTATGGCTAAAAATAGTGGACAAAAAGTTAGATTTTTTCATTTCAGTTAGAATCACGAGTTATTAAATGGTTCGATTATTTATGGGCTAATAAACAATCGCTGAGCGATCAACAAGTATTGAAAGTTCTTCCTGATAAATTACAAGCAGAAATTGCGATGAAGGTTCATTTCGAAACGTTGAGGAAAGTGCGAATATTTCAGGTTATCCGTATATACTACAGTCATATTTATGGATCTTAAAACTCGGAATCAAAGAAAATAAGGCATCCGCGTCCTTTTTCAGCTAAATTTTTATTTTTTTTTAGAAAAACTACTATTATTAGCATGCTATTAATAGTATTTTTCATCATCAGTCACTTTCTTCTATTATTATCACCATAACATATTGTCATCTATTTTCTCGATTATTTTATTTTTATTTTCACTACATTTTTCGGCAAATGAAGAAAATAAGAAGAAATATGAAAAAAAAGAAAAGAAAATATTAAAGTATAATTTGGGCAATAAATAAATAAAAATTACAGGATTGCGAAGCCGGCCTTCTTGTTGAGTTAGTACTGAAACTAAAACAACAGGTTTAAATTCTTTTTTTTTAAACTTATATTACCGGATTGAAATTAATTTCACGCACAAATTGTGACCCTATTTTCAGCAAAAAATTGTAACTGTAATAACAACGAACATATCTGACCAGAAATAATCACTTTATTTGATTTAAGGATAAAATTTTTTAAGGTATTCTCACCCGGTGACTATATATGTCGTAAAGGTGATATTGGACGTGAAATGTATATCGTAAAAAGAGGCAAACTGCAAGTAGTAGCTGACGATGGAATAAAGGTATTCGTAACACTGCAAGAAGGCGCTGTATTCGGTGAACTTAGTATCTTAAATATTGCAGGTGATGCGAAAAATTTGATTTTAAATACGAAAATCCAAAATTTCATTTCTTATTTTTCTTTGGAATCATTTTCTGCTAATAATCCTTATATCTCCTATCTATGTATAATTACATAAGGTAGGAGATTGGAAAGTGTATAATTAGTGATCGGTCGGTTCGTCCAACTGCTCTATAAAGATGTAGAAAATAATCATTGTCACTGTGCATTATTGATTATCGATTATCGATTATTGCTTCGTTTGGGTACCTCAGACAATGTTTTTTTTCCTTATTTTTCTCCTTATGCTATTATACATAAATTATATAATATTATTATAATATAATATTATTATAATATAATATAATATGCTTATCTTCGACAGGAGCAAAACCTGTCATATCAAAAATCTGGATAGCTGCTAAAGGCCCACCTGCAACTCTATCCTCAAGTGACTCTATGGTGAAAGAATCAGATATTCTTGACACAGATCCTCCGACATACATGATACTTCCGGAAGTACATGCAAAAAATATACAATCCGGGCGTAAAACTATTCATAAATAAAATCGAGTCAGTTGCTCGAAACTTATCAAGTGGAACGGCTCTCTACACGCGTGGCAAGATGTTAGCCGTATGTTAACGACTTCGTTATTCCGAAGATCACGAATTTTTTGTTATTAATACTTGCTTCCGGCATCGTATAAAACATCTAATCAGATGGAATTCTCCAAATAACGAACACTTCAACCAGATTTATTATATTATATTTTACTTGGTCACGGTTGGAAGTTCTCGTACCTGTCGCGGCGTTGAAATGGGCAATCTTCATGGACTGACCATGTTATGGTCCGAGCCACGCACAAAACTGACAACTCAGAAGAAACAGCCCAAGATCTTTCAACTACCTCAAACCCTCAAATTAAAAAATTCGGGGACAGTAAGTGCATTTCGAATCGAATTATTGAAGCATCTCGATGGTATAACTATTAATGATTTCTTAGAATAGCAAACGAATACTGATCCGAACTAAAGGAATTCTACGAAAGTCAACCGCTTCCACGATAGGGCATACTAGTAGAAAGTGGGCATGTTGGGTATCGGAAGCAATTGTCCAACTGTTTAAAAACGCTGTCCAAAGCACATATATCAGGTAATCCTGACTACTTCGGAGCTTCAAGATTTGCAACGAAAGCAGCAAGGCGGGACAGAAATATTGTTGGAGTGATATGGCCTAGAGAATGGAGATGGCGGCTCGATTAGGCGATAATAAGAAACTATTCCGTTACCTTCATTATATAATAACTCGGGAAATGGTTAGTGAAATGGTAGGAAACAGTAATATCTGTTAAGAGTAAGAGTAAGGATCGCCTCATAAGATGGAAAGAATTCTTTGAAGCCAAACTCAACCATGTTGAACATTTATTGAACATAGCTAATTCGTTAGTCAAACCTTACGTTTGCAAACCGCCAATAGAAGGAGAAATAATTTCTGATATCCATAAACTTAAGGCCAATAAGACTCCAGGAGGAGATCAGGGCTGAACTCTTCAAATGTTGTTCATCGTCTTTCACAAAGCATCTTCAACGAATGTATTTCCTAATATGGAAGAAAAAAATATTACCAGATGACTGAAGCGAAGCAATTTTGTTCCCAGTTCAAGAAGGTTGACAAATTATACTGCGACAATTATCGAAAAATCAGCTTATTAGACGTTTCAGCGAAAATTTTTGCTTCCCTTTTACTCAGTAGACTTATGGCAATACGGGATAGTAAGATCGAGCTGGATTCAAGTTAGGCGCAATTATGGTGATCGGATATTCACGTTAAGAAAGGTATTGGAACATCCCTTCAAATATCTGTAACTCACTTTTACGTCGCCTTTTCGGTCGCTTTCGATAGAACGCTGGAGGGTGATGGAACGCGATGGTGTTCCAGAGAAGATCATTTCACAAAGATCATTTGACTCATAAAGGCATTTTATCGGCGTATGTCTGCGCAGGTTTGTGTATATGGGAAACTGATAGATTCCTTTGAAATAAGAACTGTCTCAAAGCTGCGTTCTTTTCCCTACAAATTCGACTATGCGATACTGGATAATAGATATCGCTTATCAGCATTCAAGAGGTATACAAATCAACCTAGGGTATCGTATCATAGATCTTGAATATGATATGAAGTAGCCCTTTTTGTTGACAGTTATAACGAAATGCAAATACTAAAATAAATGCAAGAAGCTGATAAAATATCAATAAATGCAAGAAGCTGATAAAATATCAATTCATTGTTTTAAAAAATGATTTTATCAATTCATTGCTCGTTGAAGAAGTGCCCGACTTTAAATATCTTGGATCTAATCTAATCCCAAGTGACCAAAGCAAAAGACGAAATTACAATCGGTAGCTAGAAAGGTATTCTTCTATTCCGATTGACGAAACTTTTATAAAACCGTCGCAAAATCACTATAAAGACGAAATATCATGTCCATATACCGACAATTCGCTCGATCTTACTATATGGCTGCAACGAGAGTAGAGGATATTAAGAAGCTATCTGCCTTTGATCTCATGTCTGAGATAACGATACATTTTACATTTTTTGAACAGATAGAATGGCGCATGACTGCATCCACTTTCGCTCAAATACCACCTACATTAAAGTCAATACATTAATAATACCGTCACAGGGCTTGCATTGGTTAGGGCACGTTCTCTGTCGTCCAGGAGTTGATATAGATTTCGTTACTTGGTAAACTCTGTGATGGGTGGCGTCAAAAGCGAGGTGGGCCAGCAATATACGGACTTAAACGATTGAAAAAGTATTGACTTCTTTTACTGTCGACGATGGCATCAATCGCGCACTTTGGAAACGTCTTACCCTTTTAGCCAGTGGAGCCAGCCTAATCATTAATGGTGAGAGCTGGGAAAAGAATCTCCTATCTCCGATATGAGTGAATCTGTCATTAAAAAACCCAAATAGTACTGGTGACTTATACTTTCATCGCCAAGTGACTATATGGAAAAGAATTTCCAATAGCATTAATACAACTGATCATACTTAGAAATGGTGAGCGCTTGATTACTTTTTATTTAACCTTTATTAGAACGTATTTTTTAAATCGGATCGTTTTCTTTCAGGCAGTAAAAATGGCAATAGAAGAACTGCTAATGTCAGATCGGTCGGATATACAGATTTATTTGCGCTTAGTAAAAATGATCTATGGGATGCACTAAAGGAGTATCCAGATGCCAGAAAACTATTAATTGCTAAGGTTCTTTTTAGCATTATTACATTTTTTTTTCGTAATAGCTGTCGCTATTACTGGTTAAGCTGGTGGATTCATTGGCTACAAGGATAAGGACATTTCCAGACTGTTCACTGTTATGCCATCGCTGACAGTAATAAGCCATCTCTTTTTCCATCGTCTAAGTCCATATATCGCAGGTCCCTTTATACGTTCAACTCTTTCAAATTTTACTGTACTGTACTAGCTCGGTCTTGACTGGCTCGCCTTTGATGCCACCCATTACAGGGTTTAACAAGTAATGAAATGTATGCCAAATATATGCCAATATGCCAATGCGGTGAACGAAGAATGTGCCCTAACCAGCGAAGGCTCATAGCTATTAGGGTACATTCTGTGATAATACTGTTAATTCAAGTGATATTTGAGGGAAGATGTTTATCCGCTCGGCGGGTCCATAAAATGTATTTTATATAAGAATAACCAAAGGCAGATAATTTCTTAATATCCTCCACTCTCATTGGCAACGTGCTGCAGCCACATCGGATATATAAACCAAAAAAATTTTATCCAGGGTAGAGAAATACTTCGAAAAGATGGGTTATTGGACGAAAATGCACCTGAAGAACAAACGACCGTCGAAGAATTGGCTCAAAACTTGCAAATAGCTTTGAAAAACATGCAGACAAGGTTCTCTCAAATTATTGATTTTTATTCCATCAAAATACTTTCTATCTTATAAATCATATTGTTTCAAATTCCTATTTTCTCCATAATACTTATTTTTAATTCTTTAATTCATAAGAATCTTCAATATTACTATTATTGTTATTATCATTATTTTTATTACTACTATATTTATTATTACCATTATTACTTATCATTTTTTATAGCATAATCACTGTTGAAAATTATTGCCTTTTACTTATTATCACTGATATTATCATTATCATTATTATTGCTGCAATTGTTGTTGTCACAATCATTATTGCTATTGCTATTATTGCTTTTATTGCTATTACTGAACGTTTTTCGAAAACACTTCCAACTATTTAGCTACTATCAAATTTAATTTAATTACCACTGTTAACATCAGTAAATTTTATTTTTTTTTTTATAAATTTGTATAAATTTTTTTTTCTTCAGAATGGCACGATTCGTAGCAGAATTCACGAGCACGAAATCAAAATTATTGAAAAGGATTGAATATTTGGAATTAGAAATGAATAAGTACGATGGGTTGGATGATCAAACTGAATCCCACTATTAATAAATGCTCAATAATTCTGGTGTATTTATAATATTCATTTTAAAGGAAAAATGATTTGTTCTTTCACTAAATAGATTTTTCAAACTAAAAAAAATATCAAACGCTATGTTGTGAATTATACTTCCAAATTTTTAAAGAAAATTTAAAGCAAACAAACGAAATTCTTTATTGCATATATCATTAAAGCACTATAAATAATAATTTTTAACATTTATTAGCCATAAAATTTGGAAAAACTAACTGCAGCTTGGTAGCCTACAAAAAATAAAAATTTAAATTTGAATAAAAATAAAAATGGGTAAAAATTATTGTTTCTAATTTTGAAAATTCTTATAAAAATTCTTACTCTTTTTTGCAGAAAATTCTTTAAATAATTTATATAAAATTTTGGAGGAACAATAAAGTGTAAAAATGGATTAAAATTCTATAAATCAAATTAATTTAAATATTTTAAGAATTTCTATATACACAGTTTCTATATACAAAAAAAATTTAAAACAAAGATTTCTAATTTGAATTAAAAATGGTTGAAATAATTACAGAAATAATAAATAATATGGATATAAATAATATTATCTAATAAAAAAAACCTTAATCTCAAAAATCTTAATCGTTAAGAAATGTTATATAATCTTAAAAACTTTTTCAACTATAAAGAATAGTTTAAAATAGTATAAAATAGACAAAAAGAAGACCAATAAAGTTATTCTTCCGTGGGCGCCTATTTCCTGAAAATCTTCCGGAATCTCATTTCCTTCTCTTTTTGTAAAACAAGAAGAAGATAAGAAAACAAAAAAATTCATTTGGCGCATTACAAATTTTGAATTGGTCCATAAATGAAGAAAATGCGAATTTAAATCAAAATTTCTTAAAATAATCAAAAGAAAAATATATAAAAACAATAAAGACTATAAAAATCGCAAAGATATCACTAAGCTTAAAAGCTTTTTCAACTATAAAGAATAGTTTAAATTAATATATCACTATAAAAGATATCACTATCACTATAGATAACACTATAAAAATCGATTTTAGTTAGATAATTTTATTACATTAACTGCTTAAAAAATTAATTTAAATGTCTTGCTGATTTAAGAAACAGCGAAAAAAATTTATGATTTGAAGAAATTGAACGTGGGTTATTCGGATTAATTGCTACACTAACTAAAAATTATCTAACTAAAATCTAATTATCGAACTAAAAATCCCCAATTAGGATATTTCTAATATAACTTTAATAATTATACTTGCAAAAAAAATCGCTAACCAGTTCGCGAAATCTAACTAGATGTGAAAAATTAGTTAAATATGCCTTTACGCCACAGTGTTTTTTCACGATCTATTAGAAATCTTGAATTTTTTTTCTGTCAATCTGTAAATCCCAGTTGTAATTTTTAATACTTCCTAATCTCATTAACGAGAAGACACTGACAGTACTAGGAAATGGCAAAGAGGATGAAGATAAGGAATTGACGAGTGCCAATGTGGTAAAACAATATAGCAAAACTCAAAGAAATAAGGGAACGAGTTACGATGGAAAATAAAAGCGTCCCTCGGGTTTTGAATCTCCATTAGATCTTTCATTAGTGTTACCTTATACTCGATTAATTTTAAATTATTTCTCGCATAATTGCAAATGTTTTTTTAAGTTTCTATTTACATGATAGTATTATTCCTCTATTCTAAAATGAACTACCAAGGGTTGTTCGAAAGATCTACCAAAAAGCCAACCAAATTGAGATTGAAATGGGTCAGTGCTATTAGAAGTAGAAAAGCCGGATTGAATGAAATTTTATAAGGTTTGAATTCAAACACCAAATAAAATAAAATCTTACGAGTTAATGATAAATTTGCTGCTAAAATTTTGGTAAACGACGAATGACAATGAAGAATACAAATGCATTTCTCGGAGTACCACATGTATAATTTATTGTGCTTTTTAATTCACTAAAAATCATGATTAAACTATGATTTGCACAATTTATGATTTTTTGCCACCGCGCGATATGGAAATTTTTCACTGAAAAAATTTATTGTTTAAGGAATCAGTGATCAAAAATTATACAAATGAAAAAAATTTATGAATACAAATTGCATAAATCATTTCATTTCATACAAATTTCATTGAGATTACAAGGGAAAACAAGGATAGAATAGAAAATGCCGAAAGATTTTCGGCATTTCCCAGTATTTTCGACTTCGAAAAAAACTTAAAACAATTGAAAACCGAACTTTACGAGCTTTTACGAATAAGGAATTTTTGAAAAATAAAATTAGTTTTAAAAGTAAAGAAAAACGACATAAATTTTATGCATGAAAAACAAAGGTAAATTCCAATAAAAATTAAAGAAATAAGTAAATTAAATAAAAATAAAGTTTATTAACTATTTGTTCGGTACCATTAGAAACTTTTTTTTGAAAAATTCGCTGAAAAATCAACGAAACACAGAATTTAAATCAATTCATTCCAAGAAAAATACGAGAATTTAATCGAATCGGTTAAAAAAAAAAAATCATAATGAAAATTACGATAAAACATAAAACTTAAGAAAGAAAATCTTTGATGAGATGAATTTAAAGACTTAGTTAGTATTTTAAAAATCCAGTTTTTGAGGTCGTTAAACCTATTATGATCTAATCATTCTAGTGATTAGATTAGAATGGCACAGAGAAATTCATAGAGTGAAAATCATTCAATCTGACTTAATACCTTCAATTCAAATGAATTTCACCTCGTCGCAATTTCCATATTATCAGCTTCATATAGAAAATTTATACGATAATTTCTTTGTTGTAAAAGAATCCATATCCAAAACATTATAGATAGTCAATCAATAACATTATTTACAGTGACAAAAATCGTAAAAACTGAAGCTATCTATTTAAACTACTGTGATTTCCAAATTTTTTTGAATTTTTATTTTAATAATGAGAAAAAGATAACGATAATGAATACAAACAAAGAAAACGATAAAAGAAAGCAATGATTGATATGAAAAATGGAAAAGAGAAATCTGGCAAAGAAAATCTAAATTCACAAAAGGCTTCTATATATTTAAATGCAAATAACAGGACTAAGCGGTTCAATAGAGAGTGCCGAGCGTTTTCGGCAATAGAAACCACACAGTTTCTTTCATTAGATTATTTGTATATATTCTGGTAAAAATGTTATTGATAATACATTGATATATCTATAATTCATATCATAATTTCCAGTTTAAAATACAATCATTTGATCTTTCAACCTTTCTTGACGATTTGAAAATACATTTATGTTTATATGAAACCTTTATATGAAATACCTTTATATGAAAATACATTATACGAAACCTTAAACCATAAACCTTTTACAGCGAGAAGAAATGAATGGTTTAAAAAAGTACTCGAGATGCACGAGTAATTTTTCAGCTATTAGTCTTCGGTAAACTATTTTGTGTTGCATTTATTTCCAAGTTAATGGAATTTGCGATTGGTGGCGAAATGAATCGATAATTATCGTTTTTTTCTGAAAAATGAAATTTCGGAACTGATAAACACTTTAATAGGAACAAAATCATAATTTAATGAATGAATAAAAAATCACGTAAGATATGTACGAGTATATAGAAAATTAAAAGTACAAGAAACTTTAAAAGTTTAATACTTTAATACTTTGAAACTTAAAACTTTTTTATTCAATTCTTCTTTTAACAACTCTCACCATTATTGGTTAAATTGGTTTCGCTGACAAGGGTAAGACCAAATTATTCGATTTATGCCAATTCTGAGAGCAATAGAAGCCATTCCTTTTCCATCGTCCAAGTCCATATAATGCTGGCCCACCTATATTTTGATCTTTCTATCAGTCCAGATCTTGATTGGCTCTTCTCATTTTTGACACCATCTATCACAGGGTTTAGCAAGTAACAAAATATGTCAACTCTTGCTGTGGGAGACAAAATGCCCTAAGCAACGAAAATGTTCTATGATGCATTGTTAATACAGATGGTATTTGAGCGAAGGTGGATGCAATCATGTGAGATTTTATTCGCTTGGCGAATTCGTAAAATGAATCTGAGTGCTTAAAGATAGGCAAATTCAACTTGAATTATATATAGTTAAATATGCAATTCCCTTCCAACTATTACCTTTTAAACTGGTTTGTTGAGTTAACACAGGAAAATATGTGATCATTCCTTGATCATAACGAAAAAATACAGAAGTAGAAGCATCTGACGGATCAGAAGTAATTTCAGATACTCCTAAAAATATTTTATATGAAAATGTTGTGAATATGAAAAAAAAATGAAATAGAAAACAAATTTTATATAAAATATATAGTAACTAAAAACAAGAAATCACGTTCTATTTTTTAAACCACAATTTTTAAAAACAATGAACTTGAATTACCACGATTACGGGAATGCACAAATGGAATACTGTCGGTTATTTTCAAAGGATCCATGGCCTAAAATATTTAATCAGATGGGCCTGGAACAGAACTTGGGAAAAAATCTATATCAAAAAGTGTAAATTTTCGAGATTCTCTAATTCCATCATTAACTAACCCAATTCACTATTTTTGAAAATATTTACTAATTGAAAAAATGAAATTCGAAAAACTCGTAAAAATTAGAAACCTTAGCAATGGCTGAATTACTTACAGCAATCAGCTGCTTAAAAGAATCGTCAAAAAAATCATAATCGCCAGTAGCAACATCAACTTTATCAACACGACTAATTAACCTCCGATGAGTTGCATATACTTTATTCAGATTGTATTCACCAGATTCGATTGTAACAAAATGCTATAAAATTTACTATTTTTTTCATTCCTTTTTTTTAAAAATAATTCCAAAGAAGGGGATAAATTATTCTGATAATTTTCATCGAAAGTTAATGCCACAAAGTGAAATTCACTGAGTACTTAACTAAATCGATAAGCAGCCTAACAAAATTTTCAATAATAAAGGGAAATTCGGGAAGAATTTTTAGAAAATTTAATTGCCAAATCTGATTTTAAATTACCCTCAAGGTATCTCGGTTGAATAAACGTCTTCCTTCTAAACGACTTCTCGTTATTGTTATGTTAACATCCATTTCCTCATTTCTTTTCGTAATATTACGATTTTTAAGAGGTGCATCACGCAAATCTTCATGTTCCACATCAAAACTGAGCTGTACATGCGTCAAACCCTTCAAAAAATTTTGCATTTAAAAAAATTAATAAAAAAATATGAAGATCTTGAGAGAAAGAACAATTTTTATGATGAAATATTTAAGCGGAGCAGTCTTTAAAAAACTAAAAATTGAAAATAAAACGAGGTATTAACCTGTAAGTATTTACGAGCAAGTAGCACTGATTTTGCTGATCCGCAAAAGTAAAACATTTTAGCACTAGAATTGCCACCACTGAACACTGGAAAAGAAATTAAAGTGTTTGTCTTACTGCATATATACTTTATAAGTGAATTATTAGGGTAACCGGTAACTGTTAGTTGTTGAGCTGAAGGAATATCCATCGAAGTCGAAAATAACACATTACTGCTCTAAAATTAATGTCCTGAAGAAAGATGTATGGATAGGTCAAAATCTCTAACGTGATATTAACATGATATTAGAAATAAGGCTAAATAATATAAGAACAACTGAAATTAAAGTAAATTTTTAAACTCCAAAAAAAACAAAACGAACAGCATTTTCGTCAAAAAGTAATTTGCAAAGTGCCTCACATGCATCACAAATTTCACTTTCATACAATAAAGAGCCTCGAATAAAACACATTGGCATCGCCTGCAATATATTTTATCACAAATGCAATTAACACACTTCAATAGAATTTTTTTAAAAATAATTTCCAAACGATCAAAATCAAAATCAATATGCAAACATGGGAAGGCATATTTCATTCTGTGATAATGAGTGAATCGTTGGCTCAGTGGAAAGATAACTGTCACTATCACGAATTGTCACAAAGGATTGGGCTCAAATCCTCTTCGTTTGGCAGCAGTGTCGCCTAATGAAGAAAGATAAACGAGAGAAGTATGGCTCAGCGGGTTGTAGCTCAATTCAATTTGGAGCGCTAATGCTCAGGTTCTATTTCGAAGTTAAAGTTAAGCCTATTAAAGGACCCGGATGACGCTGGCCACTCACCTGCGGACTCCCTGGCATCTTTGCTTTGTGCGATGAGTCAGAGTATCGAGTTTAACCAGTAATGGGTGATGAATGCCCTTTAAAAAAACAAAATAAGCAAAATTTTTCAAACCTTTTCTGAAGTGCCTCGAAAATTTTCTAGAGTAGCTGAAGTAAAAATTTCCAGATTCGGAAAATTTATTGTTTTATCAGCAATCGCTTTTTCGATGTAATCTGTTTCACTGTCTATTGGAATAGTTGCTTTCATTGACTGCAAAGGAAATGCAATTGTAACTGGAGCAAATTCCTAAAAAATTTTTGGCAAATAACAATTTAATGCATAATTCAGATAATCTAATCACATAACCACTAAATTTAAAGAAAACATAATTGAAAAAAAGTTTTTTGGTGATGGGGAAATAATAAATACAATTACAGATTAGAAAAAAATATTTCTTTTCTCTGCCACTCACCATTTTTGGTTAGATTCCCTTCGCTTGTCGAACTAGACAAATTCTGCTAGGGAATTATGTGGCGAAGAAGTACGGGTGGGTCATTAACACCACCTGAATTTCTATAAGACAAGTTTACTCTTGCCAAAAATAAAATTCTCTAATAAGTAAAAACAGTAACAATTAAGCTATAATAAAAAAGACGCAAAGAAAAAATGTACTCGAATTCGCAATCTTGCAAGTTCAACATTCCGAATCGACCCTATCAGTTTGATCTAAAAACAAAAACAAAAAAATAATTAAATAATTAAAAAAATCTTAGCAATCTAATAAAATATTCTTTGGCTAAAATAAAACCATTTCGACAAATGAAGACAAATGAAGGAATATAAATCAGGCTAACACCATCAACGGCATTCGTTACATCAGGAAAGTGAATTAAAACTCCCGTATCCTGCATAATTTTCGGTATCGAGTCATTTTTATTCAAAAATCCAGCTTGACTAATCATACTTAAATGTTCGATAAATGAAATTCCTATCACCAGCGTCACATTTGTATTCACAGGAGCCTTAAAACAATTATTTATTGTTATTATTACGTAATCTTAAAAAAGATAATTTGTAGAATAGTTTTCAAAAAGAACGAACATTTTAGAAAACATTTCTAATATTTTAATGAAATTTTTTTCAATAAATATAAACTCACCCGTTCAATAAATTTAATTTGTTCACTTTTGCCAATTTTTATAAGTCGATTTATTTCCCACAATCGTCGCTGCTCATAAGATAATTCATTTCTTCGCCCTATTTGATCGCATATCTAAATTTTATTTTTGTAAAAACCTTTAATTCTAAACCTAAAAATGGAAAAATCTTAATCTTTGGTTATCTGATTTAATATGTTTGTATATTTATGAAAATAAAAAAAGCGTGAATTACTTTGAATTCGAAATACAGTAATAATCAAATAATTATCGGATCGTTATGAAAAATATATTTTTTAAAAATGATAGGATGATAAATTTAATCAACAAATATGATAACTATGCGGTTCGCTTCATTGGTTATTAATCAGATGCGACCACTCACTTCGAGATCGAAGCAAAACTGGGTAGCACTTGAATTTTAAAGGCAAAGGCCGATATAATTTGACCAGTATGCATTGTTCTTATAAATGTACTGAACTAACTCTAACAAAAAAAGTAAGAAATAAATCTTAAAGAAATAAAAAGTAGTAAAATAATAAATATTAAGATATTTTAAGCTCACTCCGCTGGTTAGCACAAGAAAAAGTTCTGGTGAGGGAGTCACTTGGTGATGCGAAAAGACTTTTCCGACACTTTTCCGAATGTTCTCAATGTTTAGTACCGCCGGAGGCAGGGAGGCAATCGAGACGTAACGCACGCTCGAGACGATGATCTCAGCAACGAACACTCGACAACCAAGAATATAATAGCAGAATAAATGATTTACTTTGGCGCTTTCTTGTGAATAATGGTAAAAATTAGCGGAAGTGTTATCCAGTTGCATTTTATGCAATAATGAAGTTAAGCGGTGAGCGGTCGCTTTTGGATCCGTGCTCTTCGGACAGCTTTTCTCCATTTCTGCGGCCATAGAACTGTTGAAAATATTCCTTCCTAAAAAACACAAGCAGATGTAGTAAAACTGTGGCAAATGGCAAGGAAATCACGAGGGAAAAAAGAGACACTGGTTCACAGTCCTTTCACATTCCATTATTTGGCCACAGCATGTTTTCCTTTCTTTTGGTTCACTCACTATTCCCTCTCTACCAATTCGCTTTCCCCCTTCCCTAACGTCTTCCCGCAACTTAAATATTTCTAGTAAATGCCGCTGTAAATCATGTACCTCAGACTACGTGCGTTGAAGCCACTCAGAAGTAAATGCTTTCAAACCATCAACCAGCTTTTGCTAGTCTGGCGAAAGCTACATAGCCCCTCTTGAAGCTTGTGAGCACATGTTTCCAAATGCACAAAAATATATAAAATAAAATGGAAAAATGATGCGACATGAGGATACTCTAATTTAATTCCTGCACGACAAACTCGCAGGTGCAACTAATACTTTGCTACATCAATAATTAAAGGAAATATTAGTTGAAAATTAGAGATAAATTCTTCTCCCTTTATTCCCCGAGGGGTCCGCGGACCATCGCCAGTTGACTGGCCTTTTGGCCTGGGACTCCTTCTCTCTTTTCGCGTTTTTTCACCTCGCAAATACGAACGAGAAAATCCGATCGTTAGTATTCGGTTAATCAGAAATAAAAAACTCTTCGCAAATCTCTTCGAAAAGCGCTCCTTGCTTGGCTCGCGAATGGCCGTTTGAAAGAAAAGTTTCCGATTAAAAGTGAATAATAAATAAGACAGCCGCTTTTAACATAAAATAAAATTTAATATTTTTTAATTAATTTTTTGCAACGAAAAGATTTTTCTTCCATATTTGAATATAAAAATCCCTTCGGGGGCGTTAATTTTTTGACCCCGAAATGACCCCTCCGCCGAATGCAACTGAAATATCAGTGCAGTGGTTAATTAAAAAATTGAAGCTAAATATTTTCGCGTTTATAAACAATAATACTCAAATATTCAGCGTCTTTTTAGAGGTCCCCAGCTGATCTTACAGCGCACCACTTTCCTGTGCTCGCCTCTTCCGTCGTCTCGTTTGCAACGCTGACCTTTCGTTGACCTTCTTCTCGTAATCATTGTGCTAATTTTTTCGCCTTTAATAGCAATTTTAGCCTTAAGGTGGTAGATTGACGTGGTTCGATCATTTTCGCTTGTTGGAAGTAAACTTTGCCATCGAAGGGAAAAGCGAATGGGTGGTGTCCTTTTGTCTTATAAGTGACGACTCTCATTCTAGTTGTCAGGTGAATCGCCATCGTTTGGCTTAGGCTTAGAGGACGAAGCCTTTCCGTTGTTGGACCAAACGAATAAATCTCATCGGAGGCGATAAGTTTTTATTAAATTCAGCTAAATTCTTTCATAATAATCAAACCATTTCAAAGAAATTATAAATTTTTTGTCGATTTTTCTTATTTTTTATTTTTTCTATTTCTTTCTTTCGATATTCGTACAAAATTTTAAAAAATCATTATTTTTTAAATTTATCAAATGTTAATTAATCGAAATTCATTCCATTAGTCCGATGAACAATCAGAAATTCAATATCTCAAAACGTTCTAATCGCTTAACACTCATCCGAACTTTGCTTTCAAGCATGGCAAAAGTGCATCGCGAGATTTGGTATGGCGTGGGGAATGCTTAGGCAGCGGTAAAGAGTAGAGTTACTGAAACTGAGGAGTTAAGGTCGGAACGAGTTTTATTACGCTGTTATTACGATTACAGATTATAGTGGCAGAAGAGTGGTATGAAATAGAAATAAGAGTTCTAAGCATTAAAGGAGTGTTTAACGGGGTTCCAGGAGGTTCTTAACAAGGTGAGGCTACCAAAACCTTTCAGCTTATTACGACTGGTCGAGATTTGCCAGGTTAGAGCCACTGTCACGCTTTTTTCGTATGTGCATGTAAGTAAACAATAATTAATTATATCCTGTATGTGAATAATCACAATGTTCTTTTTTTATAATTGGTGACCTTCCACAAAATGGTTTGTGAAGTGATGTTGGACACGGATACCTTATATGGATTTCAGGTTAGTGTATGTTGAATCTTATATTAAACAATATTTTTATTATTTATTATTACCATCAAATAGTTCATTATATTATACTGTACTAACTGTTAATTCATCAGTTTTCGGATCAGAATCATTATAGATCGCTCTTTAACGATAGAACTGGCGAAAGGATGTCGAGTGGTATGTTATCTGCGGCCCAAGCATCGTGTTTTCGATTTGGAACAAACCTGCCAAACTAGTAGTGAAGCACAGCTAACTGCAAGTGATTGCTTATAATACCTATTTTCCAAGTGATTTTACGATGAAATAAGTAAATGAAGGCAGTTAAATCAAAAAGAGTGAGTAATTAATATTTATCTGATATTAATATTAATATTAATATTACTTAATATTTACCTAATGAAAAGTGAATATTTTGTAGTCGTTTTTTTTAAAATTAGCTTCACAATTCATGAATGTTTCATTCATCGAGATGTTTCAGTCATCGGAATTTCTTGAAACTGAAATTGAAATTGAAACTTGAAACTGAAGAATTTCAAAATTAAACAAGTAGATAAGCTAGTTTTTCATTTATTGTATTGTGACAAAAGAAGTACCAGTAGATTGTTGCTTTCACGTCGAGGTTCGTTGTGGTTTGAACTGTGTTGTATTTTTTCGATTTTCCGCCTAATAATTGGCCTCATACAGTAGTAAAAAAGTAAACCAAATTTTAGCGCTCACCATTTCTGGTTGAACTCGCTCAGCTATACATATAGTTAGAAATTTTTATGTAGGATTTTTATGTAAGATTGAAGAACACATCGTATAGTCAGTCTTCCTGATAATATTCTCCACTTTCTTGCATTGACATTGATGTTTTTTAATCCGATTCGTAAATTGTTTGTTTTAGAAGAAGCAATTTATATTTGCAAAAACGATCGAAAGAAAAGAAATCTACGTGCGATGTATGGTGATAGTGGGTGTATGTACGTACAGTGCGTCAGTCAGCCGATGCCATGTCGTCGCCTACTTTCCATATTCATTATTCACCTACTGTGAAGAATTTCATTTTTGCTCATCGAAACAACCAACCAACACCATCATCACCATCTTACGATATCATCATTTTTTCATCAACTAATTTTCTTTAATTTTTGTCTTCTTTTTTTTTCTTGGTCGGTTAACAGCGATAAATTAAAAATCGTTTTAATTTTTATAATTTTATTAATCCAACTGAACCATTTCATTTAAAAATTTTTTAAATGAAATCTTTTGTGGGAAATTAAAGGTAATGATCTAAAATAATTTGAAAAAAAATAGAAATTTAGGAAATTTGGAAAAAATATGAAGTTCTTATTTCATAGCTGGAAATACTGACAGCATCATTATCGAGTGTTGCTGAAATTACCATCTCAAGGAATGTGGTTCGATCCTTGTCTACAACAAGACTTTTTTGAAGAAATTGTGTTGCTGGCTGGCAACCTGTTTGCTTTTCTATCCTTAAGTGACTCTCTGAAAAAACTCATATAATTTTTTTATATCCATATAATTTTCATTTACTTTGCCATAAAGTAATGTTAATTTTGTTAATAAAGCAGTTAGCAAGTTAGATTAAAACCTCATTCAACAGTACAACTTTAACCAGAAACAGTGACCGAAGTGGAAAAAAATTTAAGGCGCTTGAAATATGTCATAAAATTGTGAGATTCATTTCCATCGAACTTGAAACAAGGTTGGTTGCTCATACTCAGTTTACGGGTGGGAAATTCCATATTGTTGAATCATCCAATACACCTATTCAGTACTCAATATAAAAACTTAAAATTATGCTGATTTGTTTTATTGATGTAGTGGCAATGAAATTTATATCGACATGATTCTTTTTTGTTCAGTGAATTTTTGAATTCTTCGAAATTTTTTCACTGGTCGTAAATTTTCCTTCCAAGTTATTTATTTATTAAAAATATTGTAAAAATTTAACTGTACTCTCCATTTTCATAACAGATGAAAATCCAGTCGGAGAACCATTTTAGAATAGAACTGCGAGAATGTCCCCAGCGTTACTCGAATCCCACTTTCAATGACAAGCTTACTTTTGTTAAAAGATCTGTGATAGCTTGAGCCTAGTTGAATTAAAAAGGATATGGAACTTGATATCCTCTTATAAAAAATTATAATTATTTACAATTATTGTGGTCAGATTTTTTTTCATTAACTCTCAAAATTTTCGGTGATAGCCCATCGTATAAAAATTCTTTTTTTCACAAGGCTAATTCAGCACAAATGAATCTTTTTTTGAAATCATATGTGATTTAAATTTTACAATTTGAACTGATAAAAGATTTCAAATTGGTGAGGGTTTTTTGTTCAGAATTCATTTATAAAAAGACCAATCTTTTTCAACAAAATATTCAAGATCTTGATTTTTGATATTTTAGGTGAAATATTTAGGATAAGAGCAATTTGCCAGTCAGTTACTGCGGTAGAGCGCAGATGGATTCTCTACTAGCCGCCTGAATTTCACTTTTAAC